ATCTAGAAAATTGATAATTCTAATGAATGAGGAATAGTAATCATTTTAATTATGACAACCACTCTCAAAGAAGACTTTAATTCAGTGTGCAAGGTTATTTTTTATGGGCTTATTACAACCCTCGATCAAAACATAGAATTGTGACCACCAATACAGGAAAGGCATCATTTATTCAATTGTTAGATGAATTCTACGGTCTATTGAGCTTGTAAGATACTGCCTTGCGCAAACAAAAGCCATTGATTATTATCTTTCTCTTTGGGACGTTAGATCCCCAGAACTCACTTGGGAGAGGCCCTAATTTTGGATTTTGTGTTATCGTGCATGGGCTGCTCAGTTGGCCTTGAGATTACATTTCCCATTCGGAAAATCCTTCACTGTCATTGGTTGATGTGTTATTTTAGTGCTCTATGCTTGTGGTCCTACCAAGGACGTTTCTATCATGTATAAATAAGCTCGATTTGTGTGCTTATCGACCTCGTATTTTCGGGTTGCTTGTGGAATACATTCTCTACACCTTATCAAGACTTCTTGATGTAGTTAGCCGGGCCAGGGACAACGGATTAGAATAGCCTATCGTGTCACTACCTCATTGATCTGCGCTCCGTTCACCGAGTAAGGTGAACTTGTAATAGCATTCAAGCACAACAATTAACAAGCATATCACCTTCACAAATTCAAATATTGTGCACGTATTGGTCATATTCGTCAATTTCTCAGTACCAAAAGATCAGTAGTTGATGGAGTGAACTGAGTTCAATTAACAACCACAAAAAACCCAAAACCAAAAGAGAAGGATTCTTGCAAAAGCGAGTTCTTTCGTAACATTTTACATTATTTTTAATTTTCATCACTGCCACATCATAAATTCACACAAAATGTGGAGAAATGTGAAAACTATCTCATTTTTGGAAATTGAATGAAATGATTAAAGATAAAAAAACACTGAAAATTTCTATATATCTAAGGCATTTATAGGCAAATACACATACAAACTTACACGTGTATGCAATTGACAAAGGACAGCGGAAAACATGAGAGATAAAGAGAGAGAGAGAAGGAAAGAAAGAAACGAAGAAATAAATTGTCGAAAACAAAAAACCTTGAAATCAAAAAAACCACCATCTATAATTCAATTCAAGTTTATTCTTTCTTTTCAAAAATGTCAAACCATCACAATTTATCAGTAACCAAGCGAGTTAAGGATTACGTATAAACTATTTTAAATAAACAAATGAAATATCTAAAGAGGTTGTACAATCGAAGAACATCAAGTTTACTTAAAATTTGATTGTTTTTTTTTGTCTTTAACTTTTCATGTGACTGGCAAACTAGATTAAAAATAGTTTCTAATCGATCTGACCATTGAATATTAACCAAGGGATATTTAAACTAAGAGCCAACGAGTCTGTCTATTGTATTACGAGTCATCAATGTTCAATAATCAAAACATATATTGCTTTTGTATGTTCAAAAAAAAACTGGCCAGAATGTAGTGTACAAGCTGTATTTCATTTTACTTTAGGCTTGGAATGTAAAATCATTGATTTTTTTCGATTTTACATGAAAGCAATTGAAAGTAAAGAGAATTATTTCCGAGGCACACTTAATTATTTGAATAGTTTTTTTCAAAAAAGCACCAGCGAACAAATTTGAGAGCTTAAACTTTTGCACTACTGGCTGACACGAAATAATAGAATAAGTGAGACTACCAAATCACAATATCATTTCAAAGTTATTTAGATTTCGAGGTCTGTCCACTATGAATTTAGTTAGTTGTAGAATGTAGCTTAACAAATCACCACTCCAATTTCAACGAAATACAGTAGATAGTTGTAGTTGGAGGTTTTCATGAGTTCCATGGATCGTGTGAAGGTTATACGACCAAATTGTATGTGTGACACACGAAGCCAGTAAGCTGCTACATTCGGAAGTGAGATCGTTCACGAGTTTTTGGCTCCTAATATGATCATTTTCCCTTCTCGATGGATTTAACTGTCTGACGATTCGGTTATCACAAAAATGCAAAAGTCATGTAAGAATGTTACTGGAACTATTCTGGGATGAAAGATTTGTGAAATATTGGAGTTTTAGCCGAGAATGTTAAAAATGATCCGAACTAACTGAAGTTTTCACCATGTGACCCATGTTTACGATATAAGGCTGTGCTTCTTTTGTTTTGACCTGTTTATTTTAGTAAAATAATATTTGACTATCTGTTTTGTTAATTGCCATAATAATATTCCGAATGGTATTTCAAAATTCTAAACAACAGAAATCTTATCCTCTTTACCATAATTTCACTCGAATATATTTAGAAATTTTTTCCAAACTCAAGGTAGTTTTTATCATGAATTTACATCAGCTGAAGAGTTATGATCAAAAAAACCAGGGATCACCCTGACACTATCAACTGTTTCTGGAAAAAGTTACCCCTCCAGGAATTTTATGAAACTTACATTTCAACTAATAATTCCAGATGTCTATCAATTAAGCTTCGATAGGCATCTGTTGAATGGGTCTAAATGTCACTTAAAACATCATGTATTTCATCCAACTATCATGAGAACAGAATAATTTTCATTACACTAGCTTCTCTCATTCAAGCATTCACAAAATCAACTCAAACGAAGGTTGGTTAAATATATTAGGAAACAAAGTCTTGTGTGTTGATTAACCTCAATAGTCTTAATTCAAATTAATACCATATATCACTTTCACTTTAGCTGTTAGTTAACCGGGATGAAAATACTTTCTTGACGGTTTTTGTAAATTTTCAGCTCAAACACTTCTAACCAAGATCATATATTCGAAAAATACAGTTGTGGTAGGAAATCTTATTCCTATGGTCATTTAAATATCAAGATGTTCAATGCTAATATTTCATCCAGTGCACTAGTTGCTCAAGGAAATTGAAAAATCCACATATGGCTTTATAGCAAGCATATTAACTTTAAGGCATAATTCAGTTGTTTCTTTTTTAAAAAATATGTTTGCACAATAAGAAGATAAAGGTACATTTGTGTTATCCCAATAAGTGTGAATTTATAATTCTGTTGTTTGGCGACTAATTTATTCACAGAACATAAAATATGTCCTCGTCATAATCCATGTATGAAAATGACCGAATGACGTATTATTTATTTTGTTGTGTGACATTCGATGCGTATTTTTATCGACCACATAACCTACTTCTACTACTTACTCGTCAATGAATACAAGAAATTAAAAATAATGTTAGTCTGATCGATAAGCATGGAAGAAATAGGAAACCTAGACATGTGATATTCCATTAAATATTTAGTGGTTGAATTATACAATAAACGAAGAAGGGACAATAGGTAAGATTGTTTTTTAAAAAAAAAAAGCAGAAAATGTTTCTTTGATTCACTCTTAAAGTCTACAATCCTCCTTAAAAGTTTATTAGAGAACCTTCAACAATACATCATAGAGGGACAGTGTTCAGCGAAGTATTGATTATCCGGAGATACAGTTATCTTGTTAAAACATAAAGTGTAAGATAGCAAGCACTCCAATAACATTTTGGTTACTGAATGATGAAATATCTGTCAGTCATTTTAAATTAAATAAATCTACGAAGATTTCTTGTACGTTTGTTTACATAAATGACAGAACTTTTTCATACAATTAATCTTCAGTATAAAATTTCTTTCTTACTTAAATAAGTCCATTAAGTTAGATACGTGGTTCCTAGAGTTTGACCATTTCAATCTTGATATTATATTTCTTCATAAGTATCTGAATTTTTAATGCCCAAATACAGAAATTGAGTTTTATTTCAGTTACCTTTTTTGAAGTTATTGTAGAACGAAGCGTAGTATTTGTACCTATCTAAATCCATACAATGAATGATAACAGGATTGAAAAAAATTGAAACTTATTAAGAAAATTTTAGCCAAAGCACCATTTTCGAAGCCGTTCTGCGATAAACTTGTGATGAGTTTTAAGTAAGACGAATAACCAGTAATTAGATTTTACTATCAAAGTGATTTAGCCATTGTTAAGTTCAATGTGATAATAAATAAAACCGAGTATACAAAAGTTTGCCGAAGCAAAGAATATTCACGAGAACAACTGTTCTTCATAACTTCATAATCAGAAATCTTACACACATGATTCATTTCGATTCCTTACACAATCAGTCTTCTGATTCCTTTACTGAAATAATGTTCTAAATGTGACGAACAGTCGATGTAAATAAGCCTTAAATGATACAAACGCTTGGAATTTCAACATATATATATATCATTTTTCAATTGGTTTATCTGTATCAGACATATTGTATCCTTTGTAGCAAAATAGTTATGAATTTATAATTATATAATAGCCATATGATGAAGTTACTGAAAACAACTGTTCACCCAAAAACATTCCATAGAGATAATTGTAAGTAATTTTATGAATGAAGATTAAACACTGATAAAAATTTATATGCACACAGAAACATCATCAAACTCTTAAAAATAGTTTGTGAAACATGGATTTGAAATATTTTACCATTGTAAAAATATATTTCATGTGAGTATTAGATTGGCCCACTTTTTTGTACGGATAATACAAGGAAGTTTTAAAAACCAGTTGATTTCTTTCTACTTCACCATACCAGATTAGTGCATGAGATCAAATGCAACCATGAAAGTATAGCTGTCGATAATTATTGAATATGTTACAATACATAAAGTATGGTGACTTGGTTTCTTAACTGTAAATACAGTCAAATTTATCAGTAGTTTCAGCCTCGCTTCACTGTTGATAGAGAGTTGATACTTGTCTTGCCAGAAATCCGACTTCGTTTGATCTACACTGAATTACCACAAAACATATTTTCCAACGTTTAAAACTAAAAATTGTTATCATATGTCTGAGAGAGATTTTAATGATAATCTTATCCTTTTAGAAAACCATACAGGGAACATTCATACCTATCTTCAAAGACAACATATCCATTTTATATCTTCTGCTTTTTTTTCAATACGCAGCGACCATTTCATTGGCAGTTCACGTCAACTTAAACAAAAGCGTATTCAAGATTACAAGTATTCTAAAGACCGGAGTCCTTCAGGTAAACTCAAAAATGTAGGCACTAGACGAAGGAAACAATTGAAAAAGTTTGGGCAAAGAGGGAAACGAAGAACAAGTGAATTAATGCGGCGTCAAAGATATCGTCAACTTAAGGCCAAAACACAAACATTTATTCAGTTAAACAAATCATATCAACAGAAAGCTAACTTACCAGCGTTTACTCCTGAACAAGGAAAAAATAAACAATTTTCTCAAGGTAAAAGAAGGTCTAAAAGAGCAGCTACAGCATATGTTTCAAGAACATGGACAAATGGGGTTATTCCATATATAATACAAGCAAATTTTTCAAGTAACTTTAAATTTCGTTTAATCTGTATGTTTAACTTTATTATTTCTATCTAAAGTAGTAGAGAAAAGAAGTTGAGAACGTCATCATCAATCGATTCTCAGTCCTGTATTCCTTGCCTAAGAGGTTTTTAATACTCGTGGTGAAACTCAAAGTGATTGATGATACTGATAATGAAATATATATCCTAATTGATTTCATAGAGATTTTCTGTCAACTTATCGCGTTCGGCGCAACCTTATATTAAAAGTTCGAAGGATTCTAATTAAGGTATACATATTTCAGACATGCTAATGTGGAACAGTAGATAACCGACAAAGGATTCAGAAACCATTGGCGTTCGGAGAAAAATGAGGTGACAGAGATTTTATGAGTTATTTGAGAAATATAGGAAAGAGAAAGGCATATAATACTATGAAACATACATGTATAAAACATGTTCCAGGTTACACATGAGTGACTAAGTAGGATGAATCTGTGGATTATAAAATAAATGGGACGATTAGAATTATTCATCTGTTAGAATAAATCCCATAATAATACAGATTGTTAGCAGTTAGATTCATGTCACTGGCAATTTCTTTGTGATTTCTTATTTACCCAGTTTGATTTAGACTAGTATTTTCGTTTCTGATTACGTCAAGCACTTTAAAAAAGTATGAACCTACTAACTAGGCTCATCAGTTTTAGCATTCGAAATAAATCAAACCTTACCATTTTTGAACCTGAGGTCACTGATTTGGAAGAACTATTTCACCATTCAGTTATATGAAATATAAATAGCTTTCACTGATCAAATATAGGAAACAAGTTGTTCATTTTAATTATTTAATACTACACTCTGTCACTAATAAGTGGCAGTAATGTAGGAGGAAATGATACATCGATACTCTTACAGATAGCTTCGTACAGTACGTATGCAGTAGAAATAGTAGTACTAAAACACCGCTGAATAGTTCAGACATTAAATTATCTATCCTCAATCAAAATTCTCTATTTGAATGTGTATCAGAGGATTTACTCAAATTTACACAGCATTACATTATTACCCAGTCTGATGAATATGACTCTGGAGAAATAACATTGAACATGTCTGCTGAATTTCGTAATATTAAATGAGCTACTTATATTTTTGCAAGTAGCCAAACACCGACAAAAAATATTAACAACATTTAGAGACTGGCTTATAGTGTTTAAGTCAACTTCAGTTTTCTGATGAATGAATTTTATTTTTAAACAGTTTACACTCATTTTTAACGAATCAACCTTGGATGCGATCAAAAGATAAATAAAAATCAATGCTGTCCTAAAATTCCCTCAATTTACTTGTGTTTTAGGTGAAACTAAAGCCACAATTATGAAAGCTATGCGACATTGGGAAAATTACACGTGTCTTAGCTTTGTTGAAAGACAACCACATCACAGATCGTATATAATCTTCACTGAAAAGGCCTGTGGGTGAGTGTTTAAAGAGGAAGAAAACAGTTGAGACTTGAGAGTCATTTTAACTGTATGTTTATAGCCATAGTAGGCTAAAGACTTTTGTGCACCGTTAGATGAATACAATTGTTTACAAATTTATATTTTGTCTCCTTTTTTTAAGTGATTCTTGTATCCATTAATTTTTTTTAAATCACAAACAGAGCGTTCAATAAATAATTATTTAGATAGTATTGAGGAAGTAATTACTCGATCAATTTGATAATTATTTTGAAGGTTATTGTTTTTGCATTACGGGGTTGTTGTGAAGATTGTTAAGTTTTATTTGAAACCATGAATCGATCAATGTTAGACCACCATTAGAAATCTGGAAGCACTGGACGGCCGTTTCGTTCTGGTATGGGACTCATTAGTAGTGCGCATCCACGATTCCTGCACCCCGCAGGATTCGAACCCAGGACCTTCGGTACCTTAGGCGAACGCCTAACCATTATTGTTTTCATCTGCAACAACTGTTGTCTATTGAAGTTTCGGTTCTATGCGTATTTACTAGGATTGCGCCTCCAAAACTCTAGTGTTTCATGTGCATTTTTCGTTTTGCGTCACGAAAAGATTTCGAATGAATTAAACAACTTTGAATATTAACATATTAAGGGTTTTGTGAGTAAACGATTACGTTATTGGATAATTTATTATATCACATTGATAATAAATCAAGTCGAACAACAACAAAATACTACTTGACCAAAGGATGAACTCAGCTACCAAGTATACGGATTATATCACTATCAAATACCAGAGGAAATTTTCGGAACTTTTTATCAGAAGTCATGGTCAGTGATTTAATCATGTTGATAGAGAAAGAGGTATTTACGTTGTGATTGGGTTATTTTTGTGATATGTCGTGGAGCTACTGAAGTTTTGTATATGAACCTTTAGATCCTACTTAGAGACCTAGGGTTGATGGAATTTTTGATGTTCACCGCTAAAAGAGGTTTCGAATCATAACAAGAACAACGGTCTAGGCCGTTCTTCATGAAAATTAATAATCTCACTACAAATAACGAGGAATAAAAGAACAATCTCCAACTGCTTATTTCTAGGTATGCGAATATACATCTTTTTGTATTATCAGATTTGTGATTTATGCACACCAGCAACAATGTTTTGTTTATTCCATTAAAATTTTGACTTTAAACAGCGGACTGATATCTTTGAAAAAAAATTAATTCGTTTCTTCCACTCGAAGAGTTGATCAAATTTCATTTTCAATCACGATCACTTAGACTTATGTGATTACTAAAATTTACACAAACGAATCATACTACTTACTTATAATCAGTAACACGATATCATAACAGCTTAAATTTCAAACTACAAGCTGGTTATTTTTGTATTTTTTCATAGAAATGATATAAAATATTTTTTCCTCCTGAATACTCACCACTGTTTACTTTTCATAAACTATAGGTGTTGTTCATATGTAGGACGACGTAGCGAAGATGAACCACAAGCTATATCAATCGGGAAGAATTGTGACAAGAAAGGCATAGTAATTCATGAACTTGGCCATGTGATTGGATTTTGGCATGAACATACTAGACCTGATCGAGATGGTAAGTTGAATCTCCAGATATACTGACCTCTAACAGAAACTTGAATTTTTACATTTTGACTTACTTTCCCTGGTCTTTATGTAAACCTTGGTAATAATTCATCAGCTGTTTATTTTATTTCAAGAGCTTAAAACTTTCAAGTATGAGACGAAAAAATGGAAGATTTCATTTTGAACTCATATCAAGAAGAACATAGAATCATCGAAACTGTGAAGGTTTCAAAAAAATCATCTATTCTAAAGAATTTTAGTCAATAATAATTAATATTTATTAATTTCCTTGTACAAAACGATCACAATGTAGTGAAGTAGAACACAGGTAAGCGCGTCATATACTACTTATAAGTAGCGCGCACCACAGCAGTAGTAAACTATTAAATCAATTCAATAACTTTCATAAAGACAGCTACGTACTGTCACTAACTCTTAAACATAAGATTGTCGCCCGCAAACTGAAATTTAAGCTCCTACTTGAAAAATGGTCTACGAAGTTCTAGCCCATAAACATTGTTTGGATAATGAGATGAGAAGACGAAGGCTATCAGAATTATGTGATATATTTAAACAGTCACATATATACTTGTTAAGATTGGCTAATATGTTTATGGAACATGTGGGAAATCTAGTTGAAAACTCAATTCAGAAGATATGTCTGTAGCGGTAAATGGATGACATCATAGTCGTAAGTGATACACATGAACGTTTGAAGCTCTTGTTAAAGGTACTCAACACGTTCCAAAAGCATATTTTTCATACATAGGAAAAAGAGATCAATAACCAGCTCCATTTCCTAGACATACTAATTATTAGAAGGGGTGATGGATCCATCGAGTGTTCCGCATAAAGAAAGCCAACATGAACAGGCCATTATATTAGCTTACACAACCCCTACCTTGTCCAATAGAAACGTGGATTAATAAAGTGCTAGTCCGATAGGACTAAACATATTAACACTAGCGATACTATTGAGGGAAACATAAAGTTCTTAATTAAAGTGTCCATAATCAATAGTTATCTGTTAAAGTTTATGAACGTTTGAAAAGGCAGCAATATGATGAAACCTACTAAGATTTTGGCTATCTTAAGACGAGTCCATATTACTCTACCATTTATAGGTGATGCAGATACCTTGAGATAAGGACTTAAATTAGCTATCAGTAAGACATTAAATGAAATCCCAATCATCATTATCGAAAAGTCTGTGTTCCCCGAAAATCCAAACAGTATGTAAATGATTGTGTCACATCCACTGCATCAACCAATTTAGATATATATGCGAACACAGATACACATGGAGAAGCAATCGTGAATCACAAGTGAGGATGGCTTAACACATGCCTAAATGGCTAAAAAAACCAATGAATTCCAATGATCATATAGGATCACCTGATAGATAGATAGATAGAAACATTCAGTCGAAACCGGTGATAAGTTTGGTATCAAGTCAGACTTTGTAGTGTGTGATAAGTTTGGTATCAAGTCAGACTTTGTAGTGTAATACAAAAATATTCAAAGGCATATACTAAATATTCGTTGAAGCCTTGAGTATGCGAAAATTGAAACTCCATCTATCTGTTCAAATACAGTTTTTCTCTTACCCTTAACCTATTTTGATAATATATTTTCACATTTTGTGCTTTATTATTAATATCTTTCTCTGACCTTTTAATTTGTCTAGTTGATATTCAGTGTTTTTCACGCGTAACGTCTTAACAAGTGTAAGTATAACCAGATTGTTCGATGTTTACTGAGCAATTATTTGGAACACTTCTGATTGCTTTCGTCTTCTCATCACATTATCTAAATTTATCAAAGGGATTAATTGTTTTATGCATTGTTTACTCTCATTATCAATCGATTGTTTATAATCTGTTACCTATAATACCTTTAGACAATTTATTGATCCAAGAATTTCGATTCAGGTTATTTTAAAAAAAAGTATTTCATTTTACATTTACTTACAGAGCATGTAGATATTCTGCTTGATAATGTTGTTGAAGGACAAGATTTTAATTTCAAAAAAATGGATCCAGGTGAAGTGAACTCTCTTGGTGAACCATACGATTATAGCTCTATTATGCATTATGCTAAAGGTACATTTGCTAAAGCGAATAAAGATGAAACAATTCGACCAAAAGCTTGTTGTCCAAGGCCACCTATTGGTCAGCGTATTCAATTAAGTCCTGGTGATATTCGACAAACAAATAAATTGTATTTATGTCCAGGTAATTATTTAACTATATGATAACTAGTTGTTACTTTTATTTGGAATGAAAACTCTGTGGAGATTGTTCAGTTTAAAACTGGTTTGAACCAGGAACTTAGGAACGTCAAACAAACCACTAAAAACTGAATATCAATGAATGACAACTATAAAGTACTCTACGATGAGCTATAATTTATCATCTGATTCCAGTTCATTGTGTACATTACCTCTAAGTTGTAGGATACTTTTTGGTCATTTCAACTAATTCATCTATTCACTTAGTCAACCATAAGAATGAAGATGAAAATTAAAGTTATTAAAAACTTTATTAAAATGAAAACATAGCGTTGAGTGAGACATCTAAAGTTAATGGATTATATCTTGTGTTTTGTCTTGAGTTACAATGGCTGCAAAGTTCCAAAACAGCACAGTGATAACAGCTTAAAGGTCCTAGTTTTTTTGATAGTTCTTCAACGGAAGCTATTTCGTGATAGAAACCATCTTTAAGCTATGAAATCTTTTTAGAATTATCTCACTACTACGTATATTTTGATGGCAATCAAAGTGTTCAATAGACAACCTAAATCCAATGCAAGAATATCCTGTTTGTGTATATTTTTCCCTATTTAAACTGGATTATTCAAGCATCCGGTATAAATAAAACATTTCCCCAAATATTTTTTGTTTCCCAGGATTATACTTGCATTGTATAAAATGAATTGTATGTTATTTCTGTTGGTAATATTGTATTATTGTAAATTTTATACTATTCTTCTGATGTATCCAATAGTTTGTGTTTAATTTCTAACTCTCTTATCAAGTCATTCGCACTGAAAATGATCATATTTATAGTCGACATTTTCACATAACTTTGTTTTTTCACTGTAGAATTCGTGTAAGCCTAATGCAAATGAGTACATATTATGAATATTTTAAATTTCTAATCAGATTATAATCTGAAATGATGGTCATTCAGATTATATTTCTCTTGAAACAAATTTGTGCATAGCTGAAATTCGAGTCAGCTGATGACAAATGTACTCATTAAATGAAAGTCTCCAGTGCTCAAAATCAATATCCATTTAGTTAGTACATTCTCCTATAAATTCGTAATGTGCAATGTCTGTTCAATGGTTTGTTTCCATTTTCCAATTACCAATACATGTTACACGGAGAAATCGAACATGTCATAATGTTACCAGTCAAATTCTGAATGAGTTTTCATGAAAGCCTACCAACACAAAATTAGTTTCTATCAAATTACGTACAATATAATTCATTGTACACTTTTAAGGATATTAATGGTGTCAGTTTTCTGAATCATTTATTTTCTGTGTACTCAGCGTTAAAGTCACAACAATACATTCTACAAATTAACTTTCCTTATGTGATTGATCAAAACGATATATATATATATACTTATGTCATCATGATGAGAAACTAATAGAAAAGAAATTTATTCGCTTTCTCCGTTCGTTTTATCCGTTCAAATCACGCAAATTAGTATTAGAGTTGATCTTCACCTTGTATATATTCACTGTTTTGTTCAAAGTTAACATAGGTATGTACAGGAGAGTGTACCTTGACTTTATTCTGTAAACATTACAGTCAAGTAACAAACTGATATGACTCACTGAAGTAAAATGACTGTTAAGCAACAGTTTTACTTCAAAGTAATGTTAAAATATGTTTAGATCCTGCTAATCAAACAGTAAAAGTAATTAAAATTAAACTAGTTCAAGGTTTATGTTATCTATTGGTACTCAGAACAAGCTGGCTATTACACACTACATATACACTTTAAAACATTCGTTTCTCTTTTATTTAATGCGCACATCAAAGAGCATTTCTTCTCACATTTTAGAATGTAATCTTATTTATTCATTTATTTCAATGAAATACTGTTCAATATATTTCAGCTTGTGGTCGTACACTTCTAGAGCCAGTAGGAAGTTTATCTTCACCACAAATGGCCTGGAAATTAAGAGATCGTTTCGGTGCAAACGCCAACTCTTCACTATTTCCCGATCCGATAGGTTTAGAGCAATCAATTCAATTAGGAAATGCCATATCAGTTGATCATCTTTTACCAGATGATAATGAAAATATGTATCATCCATATCGATCATTAACAAATGGCAATTCAATTGACGGAGGTGAAGATCATAGTTTAATCGGTATGGTGAATGATAATAATTATCAATTAAAAACACAACCTTATAATCCATTCAAAGGATCATTCAATAATGAAGAAGTTCCATTGATAGCAATGAGTCGTTTGTCTAAATTACCAAAGACAAGTTCATCATCTACGTTGGGTTTCACATCAGCTAGTCCGATACTTTGTCAATGGAGAATAAATGCTGCATCAGGTGAACGTATACGTTTAAATTTTACACATATTGACATCTCTGGGCCAATCACACAAGATTCCATACATACACCGAATAATTTAGATAATTTGCATAAAGCATATGAATTAAATCAAAAAAGTATCAGTCGTATCTCATGTATTAATGATTATGTAGAAATAAGAGATGGATATTATTCTGGTTCACCACTGATTGGTAAGTTAACCTTTTTTTATTGAATATTTACTGAAGGAAAGCAATTTATTTGATTCATTATCTATTATTAACCACCAACTAATAACCAATATCATCTAGTCTACTTATTAGTGGTTATAAATTTACTCAGAATTCCGGTGTCTGCATTACAAGGTCTAAGAACATCGATAGGAATTCCCGGATTTAGGATACTAGTTATCATTGGTCAAAATGATGTATCTATAATCTTGAGTGGACTGATATTCATGGTTAGATTTGAATCACTCATGTTATTTAGTTACTTTGACGATAATAATTGTCAGCAATCATATAATCTAGTTTAGAAATGCATTTTTGTGTTACTAAATACTGAAAGGTTTAATTTGTAACTGATGTGTTTAAGAAATCCTCACAAAACAAACTATTATCTGCTAGTCACCACCCACCTCTGCTAATAATCATAGTAACCTAAATGCAATATCGAGGCGGCCCGCACAGTATGCACTTATGCCAAACAGACTGAACAATTCCAGTCCTAAACATCACTGGGGCGATTCAGACAGCCAATACAAATGAATCGTTTCAGTTCGAAACTATGTTACCAGTGGAATGAACGAAGACGTCAAGACCAGGTGGAATAGTATGTATTAGAGAGGACAGTTTACCAATAAACTATGTACACCTAATTTTGAAACTTCTGTTAACAAAAGAAACATTACTGACTGTCTCCTTTTCACATGTTTTCTGGTCTTCAAAACATTTTGATCTCACCATGCATTCCAGTTGAATACTCTTCTCTGGTATTAACTTCTGACTGACACTTTGTTACATACTGCTTCGAACCCACGTTCGGAACAGTACCCACCAAATCAGTTATGCCAATAAATTTAACTTTTCACGGTAAATATTTGCTCTCTTTCCCAGAGATAGCGACTTTTCGATTTGTTTCACTGTTATTTACATCTAATAAAAACAGGGTGTAATGCTAATCGTCCGATAATAGCTCAAATTTTACATAGATTCACCTTATTGTTTGTTAGAAGATGCCAGTTCATATCAGACTTCAACCATTGATGATAATCAAATTTTCCGTAATAATTTATATGACGCAACCACAAAAGAAATTGAATGGTTATCTCCCGCCTTTGTATACATAGAACTAGATAGTTTGAAGCATTCTTTCAAAGAGATTTGAATAGAAATCTTCAAGGAAACACACAATTCAACATGAGTGTTAATATTCACTCATTAGCAAACTATAAAAGCGTACGGAATTTTACCAGTTGTTCATGATTTTTGTTACCACTTATACACTTTACTATGCTTCAGTGGCAATGGCAATGTTCTAAGCAATACTTATTTCACTAGCATTCAGCGCTTGTCCTTCTCAAACTTTGTTGTTTGATCTACACAAAAATAGATTAATTATTTTTCTTCTTACTTAGTCGTGGTGTGCTATTCTTAAGTTTTATACGGTACTCTAATTTTTCAAATTTCTTTATCTAATCTTTATTTAGGTCGTTATTGTGGTCAAACTTTACCACCACAACTAATTTCTACTGGATCGCGTCTTTGGTTGGAATACCGAAGATCTGCTGGGAGTATGACCACAGGTTTTATCGCTGATTATGAAGGTAATAATGAAATAATTTCATTTGGCACATTACATTTACTTAAAAATGCTCAAACTATTTCTGACCCTAATGTTATCCCTTTAAAATTCTTTTGACTGAGTAGAATTATTTTATGCAAAATAGTTGACTTTTAGTCAGATATTGTGTATTCTGATGTAAAATCAACGTTCAAGAATTTCAGCAACATTTACGACACTTGATCAAACACAAATCATATCACAAATCGGTTTTGGGTGCAAATACTAGCCATATAGGTCGGTATTTAGAAATTGAACGCATTTATTTAGAAAGCATATTTGTATTAAGTGTGACCTTAGCGTGTATTATTCATGTAGGTACTACAGTGAAGTTGCAGAATGAAATTAGTCAATTGTTTAAAACGTTATGATTTATATTAAACAGGCACTAGGACTCACAAAAAATGATGAGTTTCCTTATTCTAGATCGTTAATTCTCGTGATTTTAAACAAAAAATGTAGAAAGAGTACTCTGAAGTTTGCACGTTCATAATTTTTTTTTCCTTTTTAGCTATATGTGGTGGAGAATTACAAATGGAAGAAGGGACACTAACCAGTCCAAATTACCCGGAATTTTATCGACCAAGTAAAGAATGTGTTTGGCAAATTATTGTTCCCGTTGGTTATTCTGTTGCACTTATATTTCATTCATTTCAGGTGAGTTAATGGGGGCTATGATTAAGAAATATTCTATATATTTTGAGTTGTTTCATCCATAGTGAATGTAAATAGGGTATGATCACTTTCACTGGATTTTCCAATCTCAAGCTTGAGTCAGACGTTTTCAGTGCATAAAATGTTATCTTCACAATAGCAAAATAATTGAGTCTGTTTTAGTAAGATTGTAATATGGACACCCTTAATTGGCTATGGATAAACGTTGATATGGTTACAGATCTAAATAATCAGGTCTACGAATGTTAATTTTTCACAGATAGACCACTGAAATTCATCCTAAACAGTATCTTTGGTATGACTAGTTCAACTGACTTTCAAAACGCTAAATGAAGAACAATACAACTACAGAAACTTTCACAGACGTATTAAAATGATTATTTGTGGCTTAATAATAATTTTTCAACAATCAAAAGTACTCACAATTATTGAATTGACCTGTTTGTCATTCAGTAAAGGTGCTCTGTTTCATCAGCTTGACTGATAACGAAACTTTGAGAGTAACTTGTATTTAGGCCTATACTCGAGTTTGATATTCGTTGGCTCATAAGTAAGCAGGCTATGGAAATGTCCATTTTTACGTGGTCTTTTAAAATGTTATTTTTTCTTCAGTTATAAGCTTTCATAATCTAAATTGTTAATCTTCTTTTCATTTCCTAAAATGTCAATTCACAGCTAGAAAAACATGATACCTGTGTTTATGACTATCTAGAGGTACGTGATGGTTTAAAAGATACATCTCCATTGCTGAAAAAGCTTTGCGGATCACATCTACCCACTCCAATTAAATCAACCAATAATGTGATGTATGTGAAATTTGTATCAGATAGCTCAGTAGAAAAACAAGGATTTACTGCTACATTTCAGAAAGGTAACTTAAAATTTAAAATTACTTATTTGATAATATTATTTAAACCAAAATTAATAAGCTAGAGATTTCGCTCTAATAATTCAAACTGCTTAACAGTTGTCTGATTTCACTGACCAATTTTTGAGGTCTCGATGTCCACAGTATCTATATGGTTAAGTCACCTAAAGAAGGTATGAGAAAAAGACAGTAAAAAAAGTACAATTCTGTCAGAAAATAACGATTAGTTTACTGAGAAACCAAAGTTTAGTTGTTTCGTATTTTTCAAAACCGAAACCAATTTATCCTTTGCAAATTACGTGGGCAGTTTCATGAATAAAGAGATTTTCAAAATATTCATTTACGAGAAACTGAAACATTCAAATTAATTACGCATTCAGTTTTAACGGATCGATAGAACTGTAGAAATTTCCTTTTAAAACATTACATTATTCAATAAAATATTATCCTAAACATGTATTACCAATCATTTATTATCACCCAGTAAACTTGATTACTGTAGTTAGAGAATTGATCAGCATCGATAAGTAAATGAAAACTTTTATTAAAAAATTCTGTATTAAAGGACAACTGATATAATTAAAAGACTAGAATTACTCTTTATAAATTTTGAATACAAGTTTAATTCGATCGAGAGACCCAGTTCCTCGACTATGTGTGTGATATTTGAAGCACTTCTTTGTGGAACAAGTTATGTATACTGTTTAACTTTCAGGTATAACCTTGATCAGTGCAAATATTCACTGGAATGTCATGAAAAATCTAAATGATTGACATTTTATTGGTAATGTAGAAACCTGACTGTCAAGGAGAGACTCTAAATGCACACAACAACTGACATTTAGAAACTTGACTTTTGACTTTAATAATGTTGATCGTAGGGGATATAATTGTCGATTTTTAACTGGCGCTTTTTTCAAGGCTCAACTTCAGCAGTCCTAGGCTGAATAATGTGATCAAGAAATAATTTGTGAAAACCAGTTCTTTATTAGCTGTAAGAAAAATGTAATTATACATTGTAGATACCGTGAAAGCAAAAAATAACTGAGTGCTACGTATTGTCTGTTACTTATGTACTAAAGTTCGTCCAGAAAACTTGAAATAATATACACAAAGTGAGTCAAAGAATATAGCCGACAAAGTGATTATAAAGTTGCAAATAGGATGATTATTTATATGTCTATAAATGGGAAAATTCTAAAAGGCGAATTTCGAAGCACATGGAGACATCTATACAAAATTGGAAAGTGATATCAAAGTTAGCTAAGAGATCAAGGTGGGCAAACGTCCAAAATGATCCAAAACTGTGTAAGCTTTTTTTGACAATAGGAAATAGGATATTACATGAATGAGCAATGAAGCATAGAAGTTAGCAGAGTAATGAGATTTACAATTATGCCCTTCTGAATACATAGATTTAGTTTCAACTTCTCAAAGGTGATGGCTAGGGTGAAACGAAATAAACTTGTTGTTTGAGTCTTAAGTATTTTGGATGATTTTAAAATGTTAACATTGTGTCTATCATCATACTTTTGAGAACGCACTAAACTTAATCTCAGTTTCGTTTGACATGCTCTGAGTTGACAACAACAAACTTTCTTTCTGTTCTCTGAATTTAAGTGCTGTTTCATGAAATTTAAACTAGTAAATACAATTAGAAGTAACAAGAGCTAGATTTTCATTGACTTTATCAGTCTCAGTAAGCAATGCGTTTGATACAACGAAAACAGTTTAGCAGCCAGAAACGTCCTTTACAGTTCATCACTTAGTCTTGAATTAATCACTCTAGGTGTTACAACACTTTTGAAGTTAAGTCACAAAATGACCACGGAAAATTCCATTCCCATACTTTTTGATAGACTTTAGTGAGTTAAAATTATCTTGGAAACGCTTTTAACCCACAGTTGATTGTCCATCATTCTTTTCTTCTGAACAAAGTTTTGACACATAATTGAATGGTGTTCTAACCAAAGCATTTTCTTAGATTGTTGAGTAGAAACCAGTGAAATTTAAATAAAACTCACTGAAAGTATTTTTTGAATGAATGGATACTCTTACGTAGCTTTTCGAGTTAATCCGAATAACAGTATCCAGAAAACGTAATTTGATACAATGTTTGCGTCCCAATATAAACCATATTTTATTGAGCGCTTTATTGAAAAGACTCAGTATATGAGAAGCGTATCTTTAATCATCACAAGCTAAAATGTGCCGTAAACCAATCTGACGTACAGCTTTCTGATCGCTTATCGGATTCATTTTGGTTGGTTCCTAGTTTGACAGAAATACATTTGCTAGAACTGGTCCCAATAGGTTATCCATAGCAAATTTCTTAACTTTTCAATAAAAGGTACTTTTAAATTAGAATCGTGTATCTTTATTGCACATAGCATTCAGAGTTATTTTTAATTCATCCTTTGATAAGACAAGGAAGTGACAGTGAATACATTGAAATTATCATTTATATTTCGTTACTTACACCTGAATCATCTTTTTCCAAAATATTTTTATTATTTTGTCATACTATTTGCCTAATAGCTATAATCGCAAAATATCAATAAAACATTTTTTTTAAAGTGTCTTAAAAAAACAAGTAAATTATTTGTGTTTTACGTACAATACAGCATACCTATGCTTTCAGAAAATCACGAAATTTTCTCATTTGAAGAAAGCAGCTCTCCGAAATCGATAAAATTTTCTACTATTTCAGTCCTCTGGTGTTTATCTACAAAGATAATTTATTATTCAATTGACAACTTTAAAGTTGCACTTTGTTACAACAAGCCATACAAGTCTGTGTATAACGGGAATGAAGAACAAAATGATTTAGGATAATAATTATTTTGTTTTATTTATCATAGAATTTGATGAATGCAAAACTATGAAACATGGTTGTTCACACACTTGTGTAAATACACTTGGTGGTTATCGATGTCAATGTGAAATTGGTTACGAGCTTCATGCCGATGGGAAACGTTGTGAAGGTAATTAAAATGCTCCAATCAAATTTCCATTCCAAAAAAACTTTATTTATGTAATTATGAGAGAAATTAAACGACTCATTCGATTTTATATTACACTTCTGTCATTTTCTACATCTATAAAATGTTGTATTTTATGGTTGCGTTTACCCATTATAACAAGGTGTGTAAAATTTGCTTATTACTCTAACCGTGCACAATTGTCCAGTATTTGATATCATGAATTATGATTCTTATTTTCAAATTTAACTTGGAACTAATTTTTACGCTGAATATCGTCTGAATATGCACATTGTCATTATCAGCATAATTTCTTAAAGTTTTATTTCTTATATGATTGAACAAGACAACTAACGATTTTACTACGGGGTTGTGATGATTGTTAAGTTACACATTTTGAAACCATGAATCGATCTATGTTAGACCACCTTAGAAACCTGGAAGCACTGGACGGCCGTTTCGACCTGGTATGGGATTCATCAGCAGTGCGCATCCACGACTCTTGCGCTTCGCAGGATTCAAACCCAGGACCTTCGGTCTTTTGCGCGAACGCCTAACCTCTGGACCACTGGCCGGTATCTAACGGTGTGAATGTCTACCTTGATCAATTCAGGGAGTTGCGCAACCTCATACATGGTCTTCGGCAGTTACTGTCTACACCTGGACTGGTTTGGCTTCACTGGCCACGACTTCCCACTAGGACTCGGAGAAGATTCCTCACGAACCTAGTCACTAATGAGCACACGTAATTGCATAACGGGATTGTGAAGATTGTTAAGTTACACATTTTGAAACCATAAATCAATCAGTGTTAGACCACCATTAGAAACCTGATAGATACCTGCACAGTGTTCCAGAGGTTAGGCGTTCGCGCACAAGACCGAAGGTCCTGGGTTCGAATCCTGCGAAGTGCAGGAATCGTGGATGCGCACTGCTGATGAATCCCATACCAGGACGAAACGGCCATCCAGTGCTTCCAGGTTTCTAATGGTGGTCTAACATGAATCGATTCATGGTTTCAAAATGTGTAACTAACGATTTCATCACCGGTATCAAATAGGAATGTAGAGCAATTTAAAATGTTAATTCACGTACTGTTTTGATATTAATCGGACAGTAATAACTTTCAAAAAAATGGATATGATCTCATCTCGACTTATGATCATGATTTGAATTTATATCCTTGTGGTTAAAATAAGCGATTAAGTAGGTGTTTTTTACTTTCTACATTTGTTTAAATCTTGTCACTAGGAAAATCAAAATAACGGAGTTTTCCAGTTCAGTCCCCGATTGTTATTATCCACTGGTGACTACATTAAGTGACTGTTTATCAACATAAGAGAAGCATTACAAAGAGTATGAATGTTCAAGTTGAATTTCAAGTTATAATCAGTTAAATTAGCTGATGCCATTTTACTTTAAAGAGTATTTCCATAAAAATTTAATGTAAGAGCTTAATTATCTGGGAACGGTACAGTAAGTAATTGAATATTTAAAGTAGCTCACAACAATGCAAAGAAACATGATTTGAAATTGAGGTAATTATCAGCAGAAATATTTCATAATGAATTTATTTTTCCCTTCTCTTAAAACAAAACAATAATCTCTTAACTAAAAAAATACTGTATACCTCTTGAAGATGCTCGACGTCAACTATCTTATCATTTACAATAATTGAATTCCATGTCGATCTTCTTGATTTCGTTAAGATGTTAATTTTTCGCTAAATACAACTTGATAACATTTTTTTTGAAACGAGGAAGACTTAAATCACTGCTAAATACATTTTATCCAATGCATTTGGGTGAAATTTATGACAGTGAATTCACAGTTCTGTCAGGATTAGAATATTTTATTACTTCAATGAGATAATATCTTAAATAATAATATGATTTTATTCCGACTACATTTAATGATCAATAAGAATGTTGTTTTCTATCAACTAGATGCATGTGGCGGAGTAATCAACGAATCGAATGGTACTATTCAAACACCTTTGTTTCCGGATTTATATCCACCGAAGAAAAATTGTATATGGAAAATTTTAGCACCGCCCAAAACCACAATATTTCTCAACTTTACACATTTCAATTTAGAAGGTCATAATGTAAGTCCACTTACGGATAGATTTTACCTTAGTGTTTTCTTCTCCAAGTAAACAGAGTATTTTCTGGTAATAATTATTTGACATATGTAGAAATTGATGAAAGGGATAATTTTTTTGTTGAACAATTTGTTAAATCGGTCGAATAACTAATTGCAATTGAAAGTTTTAGTTAGACTTTTGCTAAACACCTCTATAAAATCATTATTTGGTTCTGTCTCCGTTTGCTACTGTCCAAGACATTGCACAATTTCATATCATGCATATTTCTCTATTCATTCGAATATTAAGTGGAAGTTTAACTGGTCGATTTGACTCAGACAGACAAACATAGTTATTCGGCACAACTTGATCCCTTGTTACATTTAAAGCAGGAAGAATAGTATTTATGGAATAAAATGAATTCATTAGATTTCAAGGCTGCGAAAAGCCCAAATTTACATGCGTAATGTAATTCGAAAAATGTTTTATTACATACTATAGTGAAGTCTACTTCGAGTCAGCATGAGAAAAAATAAGACGAAATGACATACTTAACATAACAGTTAAGACTGATTAGTATTTTTTATATTTCAAAGATGAAATCACAAAGAGAGAATAGGGATGAAGTTGTAAACGACGATATCAAGACAATGAATAAAACAGATTGTTAATAAATGAATGATTAATCCAATCAGAAACCACAAGCGATTACCTTACAGATTGCATAATGAATCAACATGCAACTTATTATGAATTGATGTACAACGCAGAACTTCGTACCTAAGTACATCAGTTCAGGTTGCCATACCACATCAGCACAGAGACACAACTGTCAGTTCAAATCCAAGGATGATAGCAATAACAGAAGTATTAGCAGTAATCGAGAAGATTAGGGAGCGAAGATTTGATTCGAGAAGTATAATTCAGTAAGATAAATTTAGAAGGAGAAAGGTAGAGATTATGAGGAATGCAGAAGCTTAGAATTTCATAGAACAAAAAGAGTGGATGCACCTGCGCCATTGTAAACGATTCTGAGCCATGTCGTTCAAGGTCTCTAACCATTGGTGACTATCGTCTCGCTGACCCCAACCAGGTAGCCTACATCTACCAACATCACTCAGCCCACTTGTCAGTGACTTCATGGATTTCTGCCATGTTTTGGTTTGGCCGCCCCCAAGCTTTCTTCCAACCTATTCCTACACCACAAAACATAGCTCATCGAGGTAGTCGGTGGTTAGACATACGTAACACATGTCCCAACCACCTCAACTGATGAAGTTTCACCACTTCATCTATTGATTTGCCATCCTTACCTAGTACCCGTTTCCTAACAACAGCATTGCTTATACGGTTGTCCCAGGATACACGAGCATTGCTTCGGAGACATCGATGATCGAAGACTAGTAACCTACGGAAGTCCTCAACTCTTAAGGGCCAAATCTCGCATCCGTACAGTAGGACGGAGCGAACTACTGCACAGTACACTCGTCCTTTAGTCAACAAACGGATATGTCGCCTGCGCCATAGGTGACGCAGGTTGGCAAAAGCCAATCGAGCCTTCTGTATCCGTGCTGAGATTTCGTCAGTAACCAGGCCATCGGTACTGATGAGACTCCCAAGATAAGTGAAGCGGTCTACACGTCCGACTACTTCACTCCCTATCACTAGTTTAGGTGCCGATGCAACCCAATCTTGAAGCAACATTTTGCATTTCGAGGCGAAAACCGCATCTCGAACATGCTTGCATTGTTGCTTAGGGTGGTCAGAAGACTGCATTTTGTCAGCGTCTTCACCAAGTAGGACTATGTCATCGGCATATTCTTGGTCGATAAGCGACCCTCCTGACAGAAGGTCTACTCCTGAAACTTCAGACGAGAATAAGGATATTACGAAGAACATGTCTAACACAAAATAAAAACAAGAATGGAGAGAGTGGACATCCCTGACGCACACCACTTGAAGTAAAGAATTCCGGTGACAGTTCGCCATAAGCTCTCACTCGACCAGTGGTGTTCGAGTAGAGAGCTTGTATAAGGTTAATGTACTTCTTTGGTACATCTTTCAATGCAGAAGATAGGTTGTTGAATTCCTATGGCTTGCGCTGTGCATGAGAGATGACAACTGGAGATAGAAAAACAGATTAAATGGAATTATATATAGAACTTTCAATGTGATATATGCGTAGATTTTATTACCTATGTATACCAAGATAAAGCTACCTACTATTTTTCCTTGTTTCCGAATATTCTGAAGTAAATACATAAACTGGATGAAAATCATTGTTGTTTCGGCTGAAACTAACACTGATAGTTCAGTTTACGACTGCTTTTTTCTTTACATAGCGAGCATGTCGATATGACTTTATCAATGTTTACAATGGATCAACAGATAATCAACAAAAAATCGGCACATTCTGTGGTGATCAAATACCAGATCCTATTACATCTCATACAAATGAATTAAGCATTGAATTTTATTCCGATACATCTGTACAGCGTACTGGTTTCAGAGCTGTATTCTTCACTGATCGAGATGAATGTGCTGATAATAATGGAGGTTGTCAACATTTATGCAGAAATACAATAGGATCATACCATTGTGCTTGTCGACCAGGTTTTAATCTTTATGGCAGATATGAGTGCAAAGAGAGTAAGTTTCATTCAATATTTTTAATAATAACGAAGTGAATGTATCTAATAATATTAAGTTCTCTGAGCTAGATAGTTTAATTGCGAATCTTTCACCTTGATTAGTTATCCAATGATTAAATCGATAATAAATACATCAGTCACTAATATGATCTAGGTTCAACACAACATTCAAAAGGGATTTAAGTGCCTAAATTCTGTATTAACAATGGTAATTAAGATGAATTGTTATTTTATTTGTGAGTTAATTCTAAAGTGTTGAACCCCAGTACATATAGTCGTTCTTCATGTTGTTCTGATAGACTTGGAAAGCCTTACCATAAAACTGCCCACCACAGAAAACTCAACATCACCAAATGCTAAGCTTTAATCTACTCACATCATCAGTTTCTGGATGATATTGTATCAACTTTAAGCAGTTTAGTTTGGTAAATGGGTATTTTTCACTTTGAATCCATTTCTTTTAGTCACTGAAATTTTCTGATTTCACTGAAAGATAAGTACATTCTCTAAGTTAAGCTTCAAAGGTAAAGTCTATCCTAAATGACCTACATTTTTATCGTATACTTCGTTTGAACATTAGATTGTTGGTACTAATTAACATCAGTTTATCGACGTATGATTCATTCTAAATGACAGTTGTCAGCAATAAATACTCGTGGGATTCGAACCGACATCAACTAGTGTCAAGATCAGATTTGAAATATCCTTACATCAGGACAGGAATATTCACTATGGTTACTCACTGATGAATAAGCGGCATGTATTTTTCTAATCATTCGATTGAATTCAATCGATCACATTGCAATGTAGCCACTAATTACCAGACGTTTCGTTCACTATGTTAAGATGTTAGGTAGTTAGGGGTAACCAGCTAGCAACCTTGAATCTAGGTTTGCTGTATTTCTACACCCGTACACCATCCCTTTCTACAAAGGAAACTTAATGACCGAACATTGTATACTTCTTTTTTCTAAAAACTTTTAAACGGGACTAATCGACTTTAATGCGATGTGTAGTAAATCGTTTACATTATACATCTCAAATATGACATTTTAAGGATCGACAATTCATCAGTGCAGAATGGAATAATATCTGAAAACTCTTTACAAAGTACAACTAGTTAACTATGTTCCATCAATATGAAATAGGATTATTTTTCTTGAGGTCAATATCATCAACACCTGTATAACAGTGTACATTTCTGCACATTTCCTGTTGTACGTGGTGTTAGTGATAAATCCGAAGATTTTCTCTAAGGTTAGAACAAGTCAATATCTCAGTGAAAGTAAATTTTGTCAACAAAATACCAAAGTATCATTTTCGTCGAAATTGTAAGAGAGGTTGTCCTCAGCACCCTCCGTTGCTTGGATCTATATACTAAGTCTGTCACAAGCAGTTTTGATAATATCCCTGGAGAGATCTTGAAATACCTCCTTATTCTTATTGATCAGTTCATTATTCGGATCACAACCAGTACGATTGGTTATGTTTTCAACCATGCCACAAATATATTAACCCCTCATGATTGCACTCAGGAGAATTAGAAGCCTGTGAATATCAGAAGTAGTGAAGTCATAAAAACGCTAGATCAACCAATTATAAACATTCTTCAATGAACGTTTGGTTCCTGAATCTGGTTCTATATATATATATATATATATATATATATATATATATATATATATATATATATATATATATATATATATATATAGCCTTTTTAAGTTGTTCTTACAATATTTCTGAAATTTACTCGATGATGTTGTCGATCATACTCCTCTACATATTATTAAATTATATATTCAACAGTTTAACAATGTATATGTGTTCCATTTTACCGAAACTGTTATAAATGGCCACACCGATTTCACACAGTTGATATTTATTCTTGCTTAAACTCCTGTATGTGTGATTATTCTAATCAAGATTACATTTATCACTACGTTAATAATAATAATGATAATCAGTATTGTTATGATTGGTAGTTTGATACACTACGGTTCGATTACTTTTTGTTTAAATTATCTCATCATTGGCGACAAAATTACATTGAACAATAGACAAAGATTAATTAATTTATTCACATTTTTATGATTATCTGATTCTTTTTTTTTCTGAAACATATCAGCAATGTGAATAAGATTATCATTTTACGATTAGTATTGTTGTTTTTATCGTTGCAATATGAAAAAATGATCGGTTTCATTTTCAAATGATTGTGATTTTACGAATTGCGTGTTATGATTCCTGATAAAATGTAGTGCATATTTCTAGTGTGACACTGAACTAAGAGTGTGTGTGTGTGTGTTTTACATGACTTGATCATCATCAGTGATAATAAACTGTTCATTATTATTACCACTGTTGGATGATCATTTGTTTGTACTACGGAATTATTTCCTGATAGTAGTCTAAGTTAAATTTAATATTTCAAGAATTAAAATATATAGATACTTTTTTCGTAAATGGTTCCAACTTCCTGATGCTTTTTTCATTTACTTTTATTCATTTTCTAAAATTATTTGATGAGTAATTTAAAACTAGTTGTTGTCACTAATTAACATCAGCAGCAGAATTCTTGAAATCTAATACAAAATAGACAGCAATCTTATCTTAGTTTGAATTGCGTCATGATTTTGTAACGATAACTTTAAGAAAAGTATAGTTTCAGACTTGAATGTCTCAGACTAAGCACAATGCCAATGAGTCACTAAATTCAAATCGTCTTAGTATGGAACAACTTACCTCTTTATCACAATATTATGCTTTTAAAATATAGCCATAAGGATACCAGTGAATTGACTTTAATGACCTCAGTAACAGCTAAACTCATACACAAGGTAACTACGTCTCTCTTTCTAATTATATCTATGGAAACGTGTCAGTATCTCTTGCGAGAAATGACACAAAAATGCTGTGTAGCTTGGTAGTAGTGAATTTGTGCCCCAAGATCAATATCATCAATGGGTTGCAGTAAATCCAGTTGATAAGTCCCAAGTAGAATGAGACTATCGTCCTGAATTCCACCCTTATGCATAATTCGTACGAATCACTGATATATGAATACTATTTCAAGGTATAGTGTAAATTCATATAACAGCATAACCAAGCAATGCATTTGTTTAGCTCGTTTGTTTTTTTTCTGAAGATCATATTTCATACTATAAGAATTTCATAGATTTCGATGAGAAATAGGCGTAATTACTCATCAATAAATGCTTGGCATTGTTTTTTATGTGAGATAATTAGAGAACGATATTACTGTTTGCGTTTTTACTATTCAGCAGAAGAGACCACTGAATATTCTCTGGTTGATAACGTCAAGTTCACTCTTGATTATAATATCAGTATATTCCTTTGTTATTTTACGAACTTAGAATTTCAAGCAATATTTTTCATCTGAGATAATGATTAAACAGCTAGTGAGTATAAATATCCTTTCAGCACTTTTGAAAATAGGATCAAAAGTCACAGACTAGCGGGTGAAATGTGTTTTTTCTCACACCACTTGGGAAAATCATAGAGTGAACAAGAAATGATGCAAGTATTTAATTGTAAAATTTAATTCATACATTGTGCTCCAGTGAATACTTCCTTAACAAAACTTTCTTCAAAGTAGTAGGTGAAGCTTGACAGAAAAATTATCTTCTCTTAGTTTTTGTGATGATGCTAAACTAGATCAATCGTTGTACTTGTTTGTTTAGACATTAAAACTGGATGTCAACAAGAAATTTCTTCACCTGATGGTGAGATTATCACTCCGAATTGGCCGAATGAATATCCTGTGAAACAAAATTGTCGTTGGAAAATCACTGTAACACCTGGTCATCGAGTGAAAGTTGTAAGTGGTTGCATTAGTAAAATTGTTTATTTTTTCATGAAACCAAATATTTATCCTTGTATAATTCATCTTATTTTTCCCGTCCAACTGTATACGGAGTTCATAAAAGTTTCTACATATTGTTCACAGGAATTGGTGTGTATTTCACTCGACCTATTGTTTGCACTTAAACTTTAGTCGTTGAATAATAGTGCCACGTCAATTTAGGCAGTGTTTTCATAAAATATACCTGATAAATGTCATTCGAATCGATAAACGCACAAATGCACCAGTGGATACGTGCATTAAATATTGAGTAATTTGTTGACTGTAATGTTGTAAAAACACCAGGATGAAGTCATTAGACAAACTTAAAACAATCAATATGCTTAGTTGATCAACTTTAGTTTATATATAGCGAAGAGTTTTTAATTCCTAATAGATTTACTGATTTACTTTTCATTGTCATGGCATTTTAGATATTTGCTGATTTTGAACTTGAGTCACATCAACAATGTACATATGATCAAGTTATTGCTTATGATGGAGCTACAAATAATTCTGCTTTTCTTGGTCAGTACTGTGGTAGTCGTAAACCTGGTCCAATCATTTCTTCACAGAATCAATTGTTGCTTACATTTAATTCTGATTCATCCGTACAACGTAAAGGATTTCGAGCACAACATACTACGAGTCAGTTTTTAAACTTGACTAATAAATGCATTATTGATTACTAAAGTTAGAAATACAAACCATTCGACACCAACTAAATGGTCTGAATGTCAAGGGCTACCCTTTAAGTTTAAACGTCATATATTTCATCCCTGACAAGGTTATAGTAATTGCTTGCCGCTGAAGATTTTCATCTCAGAATATGCTATAATCTTTATGTTTTTGTTTTGTTCACTTAAACTTGGAATTAATTTTATTCACAAATATATGAGTCTAGATTAGTAAATATATCCACACACACACAGACACAGATACAACGCAAAACTTCGTACGTACATACGTACGTACATCAGTTCGGGTTGCCATACCACATCAGCACAGAGACACAACTGTCAGTTCAAATCCAAGGGTGATAGTGATAGTAGAAGTATTAGCAGTAATGGAGAAGATAAGGGAGTGAAGATTTGATTCGAGGAGTGTAATTCAGTTAGATAAATTTAGAAGGAGAAAGATAGAGATTATGAGAAATTCAGAAGGTTAGAATTAGAGAGAACACAAAGAGTGGATGCACCTGCGCCACTGCAAACGATTCTGGGCCATGTCATTCAAGGTCTCTAACCATTGGTGACTTTTGTCTCGCGGACCCAGTAAATATATCTAGTCAGTTTTAAATAGTTCTTCATTGTAAGTCGATTTTAAGTTGAGAGATTAATAAGAACTAAAAAAACTACCCTACATATATTCTTCTTCATATCTATGTTCATAATCTACATGTGTGTATAGTATTCACAATTTTTGGATTTAATCAACAAGGTAATCGTTTTTGAGTTACAAGACTCGAATATAAAGTGAGGCAATCAGTTAAACTACAGAAATATTTTATGCTTCTAGTTTGTTATTCAGTGAAAGTCTGTCAGTCAAAGCCTCAAGATAAACGCAACATACGAACAAGTTATACACGAAAACAGTTGATTTTCAGCAAATTTGTTATAATATGACACCTTAGCTTCACATAACCCATTGCGTTACCAACAATAAGCACGGATATATTTGGTTGGATGCAAATGAAGAAATATACTGACATATTGCTGGTGGTGAATCACAGAAATTGCTAGTAACATGAGTAGTGTTGATAACTTCTATAAATTTTTGTGACATATTTCGCATCAACCTGAGTTAGATTTTAAAGTAGCATTCAATGGCAACTTTGATTCTTTGTATGGAGCTCAGTTTACCAAGATCGTGATGTCAAGAGATGCTAAAAGAATATAACCTTACATATAAGCTAAATGTTTCTATCATATTCGTAATGGAATCACATTCTGCTGTCTCTGATTTTCCCTTGACATTAATGTGTCTTAAATCCATCCGTAATGAACTGTCAGACACTTTGTCAACAGCCTCACATGTCAATATATTTTAGATTCGTATGTCCGGTTAACACTCTACAACTACTTTAAGTTATCAGCCACTAAGATAAACCAGTCTGAAAAATATTAAGATTTGAAACGATGGAGAAGACTTGTAGCTAAGGTGGATGCTTTTAGTTGTGACATGGCTTATCTGCAAGGTTTGCATGGTCTCTTTAAGTAAATACATTACTTCAACATGACTATACACCACATAACGATAATAAAAGTTTGACGAACCAAACCATCCTACGTAGAGAACATACATCACGACCAAAAGTTAAGCCATTTAACAGAAATCAGTAGTTTATCCGAAATTTATGCTGCCTCAGAAATCGTTTCTTATTGGACCATTACAAGTAATGACATAAGACTTTTAGGCGAGGAATAAGATTTTAGAAATACAATTTTCCATTTTAATGAATGTTTACATATCATAAGCATATACTGATTCTTTTGATAACTTTCTTCTAAAGTTTGTGGTGGTCATCTCACTGCTGACAGTGTCCCGCAAACAATTTATTCACATGCTAAATTTGGCGATCTAGATTACGAGTCAAATCAACAGTGTTATTGGACAATTACACCGAAGTTAGATAATCATACTGTTCTACTAAGATTTCTTTATTTTGAAGTAGAAGAAGAAACATTATGCACGTAAGTTTACTAAAAGTGGACAAAAATGGTCTATTCTAATGATTATTTATAATCGAGATATTTCAGGATTAATGTCTTTGGTTGTAGTGGGTAAACGATATAGCTCCTCTCAGATATCTTGGTCAGATACAGTAATAGCGACGACTACTGTCATGATGTAGCGAATTTCGTTAAAGCCGAAATTGGTTTTCCGAATTGTTATCAATTATAATTTCTGTTGTATAATTACTGAATAACTAGATTACTATGTCTGTATTTCATTCATCATGAACTTTTGGCTAACCTGTAAACTACTATCATACGACTGACTATTCTTAATTTATTCCCAATCTACTGATTTCTGTTTCTCCTACTGATAGCCACATTTTGGTTTGTCGATGCATAGTTGATACTCTTCTGTTTTACGGTGTAATGCGGTCCAGTATGTCTGTACATAAACCATCGCTGTTTGAAATATCGATTTCGTAAATACTAGTTGTTGACTTTTGGACTCAGGGTAAATAACAGAGAAACGTCTGCGGACTAATGCGAACTTGCCTGCGTCGGCTGTAGATCAGTAGTGCTGATTGGGCTTGTAATCAGTCAACCTTTGGACACTAAGCTATAATAGTGGATGTAAAGTAAAGCAAATAAAAACTAAGATTTCGATTTGTGACCTGGCACGTAATATTGGCCAGAGGTCACAAGACAACTACTCTCTCTTCCTTGCCTCCAATATACGCTGTAGAATTCTTACTCACTTACTGACCTACACTCGTTGCCCCTACTGAAGCATGGACTACCAGTCAGCATTCTGCAGCCAACTCTGTCCTCAGGTCTCCTTTCCAGCTCTTCTTGATTGCTTTCCATTCTTTTCATGTCTGCCTCCAATTCTCGACGCAATGTGTTTATTGGTCTACCTCTTTTCCTTTGGCATTAAGAATTTCATGTTAGGGCTTTTCTTGTGATTCAGTAGAGAGATTTCCACAATAAGTCCTATTCTCCTCCAGCACGTTTTCCCAATTTATTACTGGAAGATGTTTTGTTCCTTGTCACAACCACTTGTTTCTGATGGTGTTTAGCCAACGGATCCGCAGTATCTTACGTAGACAACCGTAACTAAACACTTGTATCTTTTGGATGATATCTGTAGTAGTTCTGCAAGTTTCTGCTGCACACAACAGAACCATCTTGACGTGGATGTTGAAAATTTTGACTTTGGTTTTCGTTGATAGTTACTTACTCTTGCCAGTGACCATCAAAAAGATGCATTTCCTGGATTCGCACAGCCCCATTTCTAAGTAGGCCTCCGAGTCAAAGACTCCATAGCATTCCTGCAAAAAGATTCCTTCCTTGTCTGTGACCCCAAGACAGCGTTACATTCCTCTCATAAGTTGTGTCACATACCTTGGCGGAGTAATATCCATCTCTTTTACAATCACACAAGAGAGAATCTCTTCCTCTTGAAAATCATAAAACAAATCGTTATCTTCAGAAATAAGAATACAGTGTATTGAGATGTTTCAGAAAATTTAGAAGCGATAATGCCCCGACATGCCCCGAACCATTTAAACTATTCAGACAACTAGATAAGAAGTGTTGATGAAACGAAGAAGACTTATAAAGGCTACGTAATCTCTTGTCACAAAAAGATATGTATCCTGATTAGACTGCTCATAACCAATGATGAAGTTTCTTGAAAGTCTTAAATATTTTCCATATTCCGTTTCTGTTTATAGGGTTCATCAGATTTTACCCATTTCTTCATGTAATTAGTACAAATGTCATACAGATTCAAGTGAATTTCAGCTCATTCATTTGATAAAGCTCGAGGAGAAAGAGTATTTTTGGATGGACTTATTTATTCCCTCAACCACCTAGAATTTTTGAGAAGTACAGACTAAATTTTTGTTAGAATGTCTATATTCCACTCTAGTTTTGAACAATATACATGTAATTGAAAAAATTGAATATATCTTCAGATTACGATTTGAATCATATCGAACTTTATAGTGAATTAAGTAATCAGTTTTATAAGTATGGATCTTTAGATTTAGATGAATAATTTACTTCTGGATAAGATGAGTGAAGGTACAGAAATAACTTATCTATACATCAGTTAAAAGGTGGAAACTGTAGTTTTGAAAACTGTTAAAGATTACATTACCATGTGTTGTTCATGAAACCGACGTTACTGTTTTTTACTGTTTGTGGATTTGTTTGATTATAATCATCATTCTATTGTATCATACTTGCCAACCTAATCTTATTATTCAGGTACGACTATCTTCGAGTTTTCGATGGAGGTGACCCTAAGGGAAAACTTTTAGGTGGCTTTTGTGGAAGAACTGTAAGTGAATGGATATTTTCTGAATAGCGTTTTCTTTTTTTTTGAAAACTCCCTGTCTTTGTCTTTCATTAACCATCTAATTTTTCCTGGCTAAAATTAACACTACTGTTTTTTTTATCTTAATCCCTGACGATAAATTTTGAGGGTATAACCGTAAATACTTTAACAAATAGTCATTGGATTAGATATTATCAAAATGTGTTCCCAGTAGATGAACACATTTTTCACTCAAATAAATAAAAAAATAACATATTGAGTATTAAATATCTTTGACTGTATTCGTAGTCGAACTTCAACCTAAACTAGTGCTTGTGTGGTAGTTATTTTCATGTTGAAACTAGTGAATTTCACGCAGATTGTTGCGAATACTATAAAGAAATGCTCACAAAGCGTATCACTGATAAGGTTAAAAGACTATACATGAATGGTTATGAAAATTATATCCACTAAACTGATATGTTGTTTGTTCTTAAATGAGATTTCTATCTGAACTGAGCATCTCCATCTCTACATTATTACCCCATAGCCCACTTGTTTATAGATCTTTCCTAATTTTTACTTTGTTCTCTTGTGGAACAGCCATACTGACTTTTATATCTTAACACGGTACTTCCACTATTTGTGATACTATTATCAATATCACGGGTAAATTCATATGACATTTCTTCTAACGTATTGTCAGCCGTCCTAAAGTTGATTCAACCCATTACAACACACTAAACAAACAATATTCATTGCTAGCCTAGGATTAAAACATTTGCAACTAAACCAGATAAAGAGCACTAGACAGTAGCTTCATCGTAGGGTAGTGTTCAACAAATGTCCCACCAGGAATCGGATCACAAGACTCCCGGTATCACAGTGATTCGCCACCATTAGACCATTGCGTTTTCGAGGGGACTGCACTTGCGGTCAATCCATAACAAATGTCACCTATAAGTTTAACTTATTTCCATAAAACCTCTATACGATAAGTGATATTAATTTTTATCACCTATTTATGTCCACGTGTAGTGACTACTGCTTACGTCCAAAATTTCAGTGTATCATACAAGTCACTTGGATTGACAATCATAGAACTTCAGCGACAACCATTGACAATAAGTGATCTTACAAACAGTTTCTGTGCTCAAAAATGTGTTAAACAACATTTAACTACTCACAAGTAGTACTACATCACTCGGCTACATTTGTCGACACGTGACAGCAACAAAGGCAAACGAAATACATCATAAATTTTTATTTAAACAACCTAAAATAAAAACTTCAGTCTTGTTTCACGAATTGTTTTAGTTTACTACTTGTTTTAATTTCTGTGTGAACTGCTTTTAAGTGTGCAGTGTTCTAATAGGATTTTGTGATTCGTGATAGAAGTCGTGATAAATTCTAATAAGCTCAAAATTAAATTTCATTTTAGTATGACAATAAATCACAATAACAGTGGGTAGAAAATTTCTCCTATTTCAGTTAAAGTGTGTTTTTATATTTTGAAAAAAAAGCAATTTAATGAATCGAAAAATAGTTATTTATTTCAATCCTTTCAAAACTATATGCAGCATGATGTGCACTTGTATTCGCGTGAATTAAATTATTACTCGTCACAGAACATTCAGTAATAGTCATGAATGATCGTTAGAAAATGTGCTTTAGATTATTATACTTTCTTAACAGAAAATACGGGTGATAAAACAAAACTGTCATTATTTATTAGTAATTCGTTTCTTTATTATCCAAATGATTCTATGCTAACTAGTATCTCATGGATTATAAATATTTACTTGTCATCAATTAGCTTCATGATGGATTCTTGAATCTTTGTAGAAAAATATTACCAACAAGTTTTTAATTAACCGTGTAGGATTTATGATAGTTTCTCATCAACAGCATCATGTGATCGCTGCACTATACTGTAAATTGATTTTAGTCAAAACCACTGACTACCGGGCAGCATGATGCACAACAGAAGACCTGAAGATAACCAGTTCAATCTCTGGTGAAATTTTTGAGCAAACATTACTTAGAAATCCTGAAATAGGACGAACTGTCTGTTCAGTGCTCCGTCACTGTCAGTAATTCTTCGACTAATATCATTTTATGATAAAAACTCGCCTTCAAATTGAACTAGCCCCAACATATCTATCTATACTTGTTCAGACTCTAAATGAGACTAAACATTAAACGAAAGTCAATTTGTGAAAGGATTCAATATATATCATTTAACAATATGTATGTATATTTTGAAATTACTATTTTTATCGACTAAAAATTAATGTAAATAAAAAAAAATATGGTTAATTGCATATATTTCAACCGTGGAATATAATATCGCTCCTCATTGACGGTGAAAGCGATAAAGGGTAGGCATAAGAACAAACAAGAACATCATGTGATAGAATCGATTAAAAGCGATTAACTTTTTTTCATAAATTTCTCATTTATTTTTTTAAATAGAAATAATACAGAGTGATAGATTTTTTTTAATCCGTTTATTCAATAAGGAAAAAGCGCATAGAAGGAATAAATAAATGCTAAGCTCCCCCTATTTCGCCACTTTCCATCTTAGCGCAACCGTTCATGTGTGTACTTTGTGTAAAAGAAAACTATTACAGTTTACACAGACTCACATTGTAGCGCCGTAGAATTCTCTTTAAACAGACCATAATCATAATCCTTGTTCTGTTAGATTTTCATATTAGCATTCTAATGCATTGTTTACATGAAATACAAAATCAAGTGAAATGTGAACGCAATAAAACAAAGACTACTACTACTACTGCTACTATTGCTATAAATGACTGTTCAACAACTTAACAACACTATGGAATAGACATTATGTTATTTTGTTTTGTTCAATGTGTATGCGATGTAAGTAGAAAAAAACAAACAAACAAACAAACATTAATATTATCCATCCTTTTGATTTTATCAAAGTAAATAACTATAAAATTAAAAAAAACGAAAAACCAAAATAAAATTCTGATATCTTTATATTCATGTACACATATTTTATAGGCGAAGATTTATATATATATATATATATATATATATGTATATATATATATATATATATATATGTATATATATATATATATATATATATATATATATATATACACAAAGGATTTGTATTAGTTGACGGATTGTTGATATTAATATTGAGACAAGTTGTCTAAACACAAATTTTCTGAAAATTCTCTCTCTCTCTCTCTCTTATTGTCATTGTTCTGTCAATACATTTCGGTGTAAATAATCTAATGCACACTTAAACTATCATCCACGTATAAAATACAAAAAAAAAGTAAGAAAATTTATTTTAAATGACAAAAAACGAATTAATTCTACAATATGTCCAGATAGGCACAAATCTGTGTAGACCAGCACAAACACACACAACCAATTAAGCACACACACACACACTGAGGGTGAGCGAGCGAGCGAGCGAGCAAGAGAGAAATTAAACGTTTATCGGATGAGAATATATCAACCTTGTAGAGATAGATGCACATTCATAATCGCTGCCATGATTTATCTAGAACACAACTGAAACATCAATTATATTATTATAAATTTTAATAGAAAATCATTTATTCCATAATAACCCATTCTCCTAGACAAGATAAATTTTTTTTTCACCTAGTTGCAAAATATTATAATGTTGTGGAATATAGAAAAAAAATTTTATTATTCAAAAATATTGTTGACCAATTGATTGCTGAGTTAATTGATCTTAGTTGCTATGATTGTAGGATGGTGATTGATTTAACTTAACTCCTGTCACAAATTAATGCCCCATTAAAATACATATATATATACATATATATGATCCATGTCAACGTGTCTATATCAACAAACTATGAGTGAAGTGTTCGGATTGTGATAATCTCGTTTGACTAGACAAATAATTTCCATTCTTAGTTGAATGTCGCAGAAGCGCACACACACACACACACACTTTGGTATTGAATCTTTAAACGACTTGAATAATAATAAATTCACTAGTTCACAAGCCTCACCGTTCATGTATATCCCGATCAAAAATTTTGTTTTGCAAGGGGGATTGGTGAAGGAAGCACACGAGAAAAAACAAGTAAACACATGACAAATCAAATCTTAACTAATATATTGACAATGATTCCCCCTTCAGAAATACTTTTCGAAGGTGAACCACTTGCATCAAATTGGGGAATCAATTATAAACAGCACAGAGACTAAAATAAGATAGAAAACACATAAATAATCATAATAAATCTATGAAAATTATTCACTACTTCCCATTGTCAACCTGTGAATACAATTATGTGCTACTAAATACTATACATTATCCTCCTTGATGAGAGATTAACCAATCGTACAGTATTGTTTTTTTTTGGTTAATGAGAAGTAGTTTCTGTCACCAGTGAGAAAATAAAGCAAATTTATTGAGAGATAAAAGAGAGAAAAACCTACTTAATCTACCTGTCTAACATTTTCATTAATAATAATAATAATAAAATTATGAGAGCGAATTAAATGTCAAGTCAATACATAACTAACTATTTAGAGAGAGAAAACAAATTATCCTCAACACTACTACTGCTGCTAGTAGTAGTATAACCACGATGATAAACATCAACGTTAAACATGTCTGCGATGCTCTAAAATATCGATGACTGACACATGGAAATTAAATAATATGCTGAAAATGATCAGTTTATGGGAAAAAAATAATCTGACCAAATGAAACACAGTACGATTAAGGCAATGAACTTGAACAGGAATTCAAGTAGTAGTAGTAGTAGTAATATTGTTAGTAGTAATAGAATAGTAGTAGTAATGGTAGTAGTAGTAATGGTAATAGTAGTAGTAATAGTAGTAGTAGTAATAGTAATAGTAGTAATAGTAATAATTGCAGTAGTAGTAGTAGTAATTTTTTGATGTTGTTGTCACAATCTTTGTTATTTATTTGATGGAAATTTTATGAAAAATTAAATGTTCTAACATAAAAATTACTCAATGTCTTTTCTTTTTAACATAAATTCCTTCAATTCTTTCACGACATTTACTTTTTTTTCTAGTCATCATAACTCCACGATAAATGATTGTGTACTGTAGCTTAACCAACAAAAGAAAAAAATATGTATTCATGGCGCGAATGAGAATTCGGACTAGTAATTAGCATGTTCGAATCGCTAACACTCGATTACAAGTTCAAATCTCACTTTCACTATTTCGGTTTTCACAGTCTGTTTGTGTTGTGACTCTTATACTAGTATACAAAAATTTTTTGACTGAAACATGAGTTATATTAATAATAGTGGTATATGTAATAGTTTATAATGAACCTATTTAAGCTGATCAATAAGTAGCAGCCAATATCATGTTTTTATAATCCTTAAAGTTGAATAAATTTTAGCAATCATGTTACAATGACAGCAACAGTCAAAATAACTCAACATCATGTGGACCGTAATTCTCTGTCGAATGCTTAGATGGAACCCAATGGAGCTCTATATCTTATTCCTGTCAGAAAGATATACATGTATTTTTAAGGGATTCGATATTTCACTCGTGAGATGAGATCGTTCATGACTTAGCATTGTAGTTAGAGATGTGGGTCGCGACGAACTTCGCGTCGGATTGAGATGTGTACATTAATTAGTCACTGATTAGTAACCGGTATCATATTTGTTCAAACATTGGTGATTATCGAGTTCCTCCTTCCACGAATGAACAGTCTCCATATAAGTAGCTTAGTGGTAACTTCACTCACTGAAACACTAGGAAACACAGACCCGCATTCCATGAACATCCTCAGTTCCCTGAGGATTGCAGACAATCAAAACAAAGTTATACCATGACTTAAATCAACTTGAAAGTATGGAAAGTGTGAAAGAGATTGTTTTCAAAGTATATCGTTTAAATTATAGTTACTTAGCAGTTGACGATCCTAAGATCAGGTTCTCATGAATGAGTAAATTTTATCAGTGGAAACTTTTCTGTTTTTAACCAAGATTTCCTAAATGAGACTCAAACCAGTTACTAATTACTACTATCATTACAACAATATATGCTAAACTACTTGGTCATGTTAGCTACCAGTTCTCCAACGAATATAGAATTCCTCTTAGTTGAATGGTTTACATTTCTATGTTGGAAATGAACCGATTATTCTTTGTTGGCATTTCCACTTACTAATGGTGACATTCATAGATTATACACTTAAAATTATCAACAATCAAATATTACAAATCCTTACAGTTAATAATGACAGCAGTCAAGTTTGATGTGTGACTATAGGCTTACAGCAAGAGTCAACAGCATGATATACCAGTGTTTTTTATTATCTCTGACAATGAAATGGGATTTTTGTGTAAATCAGAGTTTTTACAACATTATAACAAATTTGTTATTGCTAGACAGCCACATATATTATTAGTGAATTATCAAAAAACTATTTGTAAAAGTGATGTTGAATCATTTTATAGTTGTAGCTTTAAAAAAAATCACACAAAAAGGACTTACCACTAAGATTGCATGAGGAAGACGACACTAATCATAATGGAAGATAGTAAGTGGAATGGTTAGTATACACCATAGGATTATAACTCAATGATAAGAGAGTTCATCACCGCTAGTGAAGCCTGATTGTCTGGAATTCGATCTTCAGTAGGATCGTGAAATTTTAGTCTAATCGTTCTTGGGTTTTGCAGTGGCCTTCCAACTAAAAGATCAGTTTATGATGTAAGATTTTTCATATATAGTATTTCAACTCATTTTTTGAAATTTCCACGGCGATTTTTTAAAAAAAAATGTTTTTTAAAAACTCCTGCGAGGTACAGGAGTCGTGGATTCGAACCGCTGATGAGTCACATACCAGGACGAAACGGCTGCCCAGTGCATCAATGATTGATTGATGATTTCAAATGTGTAAAAAACACAAATCTCCAAAGCTCTACCTGAAAAAAAGTACTATTTTTTAATTAAAGTCTTCTTTAGCGATCGCTTTTCAACAATTACGACTTATATGCCTCGAATAACCTCGTAAATCATTTGTGGTTAATTGATTTACAGAATTTAATATAAAATTTGTAAATGATTCATTAAAACCGCTTGTCAGTGATCTTCTTACAATGGATTTAATTTTTGAAAATACAAATTCAATTGGATTAAGCATATAAGGGGATAAAAACATAACCTCTACTCCCTTTTTATCAAAAAAACTTTTTGGTAATATTGGAGACATGGATCTTTTCATTATCAAGGATAAAAATGCGATTTCTTAAAAATAGATTTTTGATTGCATTTTTCAATCAATTGTTCAAAAAAATGAATGAACTTATCGGAGTACACTGAACCAAAAAATGTTTGAGCAAAAAGAACATTTTCTGTTATTGCGGATATCAAACTTACATTAGTTAGACGTGTTGACGGAACCATATCACTTGCTGGTTTTCCTCTTGTAGATCTTCCCAAAGTTCTTCTCAAATACAAATTAAAGGATGATTCATCAATAAAAACTTTTCTGAAGGAGTCTTCGATATTCCTAAAATCTTGCTCATATATCTGTCGTTTAATTTTACTTGATTCTAAGTTGATCTTAATCGATGTATAAGGACATTTTAAGGATGATACAAAATTTTAAAAAAACTCTGTGAAAATTTTAAAAAACGAGTTGAAATAATATATTATTAGCTCACGTTTTCTATATAACTCCTTACATATGCCCTGTTACACTTCGTGGAGCATAGGTTGCCAAGCAGTAATCTCCTAGTTTGTGCGATAACAACTTTTCCGTGACTGGTAGGTCTATTCAATAAATTGATCATCCTAAGCAGAATTACAAACAAAATTGCTGTGTATAAACGGCAATGGACAGTTTTGTAAATGTTGTACTTCAATAAATCGTTTCACTAAACAATGAACTAACTGATCAGTAATTCTGTGACATTTCGAAAAAACTTAATTATCATTTGAGTCATAATATGAATACGTAGGGAACTGATAGATTTACTTGATCTTACATATGCTATATATGTCAGTGCTTAATTCTTCTTAACAATGCAAAATCACCTATTCAATAATTCACAATTCTGTTTATTGTACTGGTCATTATCAATCTCAAGAAAATATATAACATTATTCATGTTTCCCTATTGTATTGTTTTTTTGTTATCAAAGTTACCAAATACATTTTTATCGAATTCTGGACAATTGTATCTTCAATTTGTTAGCGACGATACAATTGGTGGTAAAGGTTTTCAAGCACAATATCAAATGATTCCGTATGATTTTAAACTACCAAAACATGAAATTGATTCACAAACAATGACCAATCAATTAACGTCTCATTCGGCCTCCTCCGCCTCTTCTTCTTCTTCTTCTGCTTCATCGTCGTCATCATCATCGTCATCCTCATCACCATCGTCAGTATTTTATGGTAAAAACGAAATGTTACAACAATATCAACCATTTCATGGTAATCGTTATTTATTCCCACCAGCATGGGGTACTGGAAGAATTCGATATTTTGGTGATATGCGTCATGCTGAAATGACTGACAATTATCAGTCCACTCGACCTTTTCATTATAATCCATCATATCAACATGTAAAACAATCACCAACCATACAACAAACAAATCCTATGACTTACTCACATAATAATCTATATCAACGACCTAATGGAAGACTTCCTGTAAATCGTGAAGACAATTCTCAATTACCTTGGCGATTTGCATACACTTATCATCAGTCTAAGAGTCCACCAACTACACGACAAACAACTGTTAATAATCTTTTCAGATCCAACTCAGCATATAGTTCACATTTATCTTCTAGACCAACCGCATTTAAAAGTAAACCAGCAATGGAGTTTGAACACGCAACCACACAACCAGTTTCTCCTTTATTATCGCGAAACACAATCACTTCAAAGGAACCACGTATAAGTAGTACATGGCATGTACGACCTGGTCGTGTTGTTCATCAACCACAGTTAAACATCATTAACAGAATCATTAAACCAAATTCACAAAAAAATCACCAATCTCCACGTAATATTCTTCGGCAAATCAAATCAAATTCATATCAACAGAAGCAAACAAAACAAAATATCAAAAGTCCTATGCGTTTTCATGTTATCACTCAACTGGATCGAAATCCACCCCGGTTTTCCGGTGGTAGTCAATGGAAACAAAGGAGTGTCGGTTCTAGTAGATCACATCGGGATGAGAGAATTTTCAAAGCATTTTAATGAATTAACCATACCAATTGACATTGCTTTTTATTATCTTCTTCAAAAAATATCTCAATTCTTGTTTTGACATTTATGCAAATTCATAAACTCTAAATAGGGATTTAAAATAAGTTTATTTTCACACACACACACAAAATAAGAGATTTGTATTGTGAGACACGTGATCCCACGAGATCCATCTTTAATAAATCCAACTGACTAAGTTGACTGTTTGTTTATCAAGACTTCACATACGAACTCAATTAAGTGATGAATTTTTTTAAACGGCACCAACATCTTCTTATGCCCTGTTGTATTTTGTAAAATAACTAAGAAGTTTGTTTATACTGTCCTGTTTGTTAGTTAGGTCATTTGTATTCGAAAAAAAATCAATGGACATGCAATTTTAAACAACACGACGAACATTTTGATGTTGAATGGTTGGTGTGGTAGTGTGCAAATTGCTGCAGCATTCTCTTTATTATTCATTGATTGTATAATTTATCCACCTCATATTTCCATTTGTTTGTTTCTCCCCCAACGAAATAATTAATTACCTTTGTATGTAATTTCAAAAAAAAATTGGTGCACAAAAAATTATTATTTGAAAGTTTACACCACTACTTAAATAAATATTGTGATGTAATTACTATATATAAGCTGAATTTCCTATTTGTGTTTAAATCAAACCTAATACCCCTATTCTTTCACTTGGATAAAAGTGATCTATGTGTAATTCGTAAAAATGTGTCAATGAATCGTTGAATAACTTCATCAATTTTATTATATGTGATAATATACATCAGCAACAACTGCTTACTATTCAACATTTTCACAACAGCGAACAGTATAGGATGAACATGTTTAGCCAAGTGTTATTAGAAATGTGAATACTTTTTATTTTTTTCGTCCAAAAAATTAAATTCAACGTTGAAAAGCGTTTATTTAATGAAAAAAAAAAGAAAAAGAGTTATGAATAAAATTTTCAACGTTAAACAAAAATTAATGTTTACTCAGTTAATAAAATAAAATATTGCCGTTCGTCAATGAGATAATTTACTTCATTCCTATGCAAAAAGCAATTTTATTGATTTCCGAGAGAATAAGTCAAAATCAATGAATGAATGAAAATTTAACTAAAACTAAGCGACAATGTTTTGATAGAACAGTGAGAAGACGTAATTGATCTTCTCACTGTTCTATCAAAATTTATAAAAGGGACTAATTGTTTTAAGCGACAATGATCAGACAAATTTTATTTGAAATAGATAGACATCGTAGACTCCAATGCTACAAACCAAACTTACATCAAACACTTGAATAGATAGGATGTTGTACCAACCAACGATCCAGATATATATTGTTTGTGATGTGTTCGTTGAGCTGGATGATTTAATTAGGAAGCTTTTATTATCATTCTGGACAATATCAACACTTACTTTATGTTTGTAGACTAACATACATTAGTCAAACAGCCGTAAATCACAAAAAGGTTGACTACAAATCCCTGTAATATCAATGCACAACAATTCTAAGTTTATTAATCCATGTTTTGGAGGAATTTATATATAAGTGTAGGACGAAAATTGGAAAATCATATGAAATCACTTTCTGGCTGTGATTAAAGTATGTTAGCCAGAGTTGGTAAATTTTAGACTAGCAAGTTTATGGTGAATACCTGTATCAGGTTGAGGGTTGATCGAAATTATTCAGAACAAACACGAATAACATACGCTTAAGCAAATGATTAGTAACTATATTAACAAGTAGAATTAATATGCGTTGTGTACATTGGTCAAATTGGATCCTTCGAGATGATTACTAGGTTAATAAGCATAAGACTAACCAACCTAAATGCTTGTCCTTGAGACCGAAGGTCCTGGGTTTGATTCTCAGTGGGGTAGTGAATGCCTACTTACGAGATGTTCTTTATATATTTGAAGGAGACAGCTATCCAGTGTCTTCTAGGTTAGCTAAGATCGCTTCACGATTTAAATTATGGTGAACCATAATTTACCGGTTTTTAATGTTTTCAGTTGTAAGAAGATAAATTTCCGGTGGGTTATTTGCTGCAGAAACAGATAAGTGCGCAACTCTTTTGCGTTATGATTGGTCGAAATTAGTATGATTGTAAATTTTCCATAACTCAGCATCATTACAGTCACTGTAATATGACAATTGTACATGAGTCACGCTGATGCTTATTGGTTACTCAGTCTTTTACGACGCTATAGATGAAAGATATTCATCTGATTATCTCGTCTGATTATCCTCAGACGAGACATATAAGTACACTCAAAGTCTCATCGTCTCTCATCTCACCCGCTCGCATTCGTCATCGTCGCTAATCTAGCTAGCAACGTAGATCGATTTTCGAAACAAACAAATATGCACTCGTTTTTATTTTCGATTCCAACGTTATGTATGAGTTCACAGTAGTGGCGATAAGTGATGATGATGATGATGATAAATATAAAACATAGAAAAACTTAAATAGCAATTATATTGTTCATATAAAGATATAACCAACTAAATCTATGCGACAAAGTAAATTGATTTATCTTCGACCATTTTCAGTCTGTTTATATGAGCTATTCAAAATAGGTACAGATTTACACACACATACATACACAATCGTATATAAATCGCAAAACTTTTTCAAAGTAAAGCATAAATCACAGTGACATCACATGTAGCTCTACTCTTTCTTATTCCTGTTATAAAATCACTTGAGATATGTTGTAAAATGTAAATAACAGACCATTTCACGTAAAGACAAATGTTTTATCCTTTCATCAATTTTTGCATGAATTCATTTCATTATCAATGTTAGTAACATCAGTCAGGTGAGCAATATGAAACTTAAATCGAACTCTCAGAAGCTAAATAAATACAATGTAAGTTTACGATATCTTTTCTCGTCACTAAAATCTTCTTTATCATATCAGAAATAGAATGGTTTCGCAAGGCAGCGAACGTAAATCATTTCAAAAGAATCACTCTGAAGGCTTTTAAAGTCATAAATGAAAGTTTTACTCCACTTGTAATTTTAGAAAGCCTCAGTTAGCTCTAATACTTTATCTAATTGATTTTTCCTAAGGACTGTAGGGTTAAAATGAAATTTATAGCATACTCTTTATTCCAAGGAATAAATGTTCTTTAAGGGAATCAAACGATCCTAAAATCTTGAATAAGTGAAGGCCGTCATGACTCTGAAACCTAATACATAACGTTTTGGTGTTTAAAGAAAAGGTAACTATTATCAAGTCTCTCTGCGTCCTTCCTGATGGAGAGTCCCAAAAAGACGAAACTCGCATCTGGAATTTCATTACTAAATATTGCCCCAAGTTTTATATTCCTAACTGTAAATTTTCTGAAATCGAAATGTATTGTTATGTGCTGCTTCGCTAATTGATAAACTACGATCAGTACCTACCGTGTGAGAAATACTGGTTTCCTATAAACATAAAAGCCTGATTACATCGGAAGTAATTGGTTATCTAATTTTACTGTTCATAAAAGTAGACGCACCTTTATAAACATAAATGGTTGTAACACTGGCTAGTAAATACTATCAACTTTGATATGTGAAAATTAACGAAATCTATATCAGTCTTCACCTTGACTCCGAATAGGTAAGATATGCAGGTATTTTGGCCAGTAGTCTTAATAAATATCACAATTTTACGTTATCTCCACGACTGCATATTACCTGAGAAATTCGTAACCTGATAATACTTTTCTCATAGACTAATATCAGCTTTAGAACCATTGAAAACCAACGGAGAGACTAACAATTGTTGTTTTCTAGTTTGAAACTCCTTAGCACACATGAGCCAGATTTCCAATCGTTCTCTAAATGTCAATTAACGATGTAAACTGCTTTGAAATTAAACTATTCCGTACAACCTACCCAGATCAGTAACTGTTCCAAATTACCAGTGTACATATCAAATAATATCAAGTTAAAAATTATAATTGAATATCGATTGTTATTTTAATTGTAAGTGATGAATCTGAGAATTGCATGAGTAAAATTTGAAAATTAATATTGATGTTAGTGGTTTGTTAAATGCACTAAAGTAAATACTTTTACTCACCAGTTTTGTAAATTCCTCATAATAATGCTAGTAAGTGGAGAAAATTCATTGCAAACTTTTCCAAAAATATCCTCATTCTTTGAATAAAGTATGTTTGTACCCCAGAATATCAGACTACAAGTTTTGTTCAATGAAAGATGAATGAAGTTGAGTAGGAGAATGAGTGTTGTGTCTTTCGAGTAATAGTAGTGTAGTGAATGAGAACACAGGTGGGGCAACCGAATTGTATTTAACGAAAATTACAGAGTTACTGAGTAAAATTGGAAAACCATATCGTAAATTGTTCATATGCAAATTATCAGTCCGTCATATCGAACTGGACTGTTCCTGTTGAAAAACATCAACATTGTCACTATTCATGCGTTTCATACAAATTGCATTGTTTTCTGACTCTTCCTTTCTTGATCTTTCCCCATCTTCCGCTGCCGAACATTACGTTGACACTCAAGTCATATACTATTTATAAGTAGCTCACACCACAGTAGTAGTAGTAGTAGTAATAATAATAATAATAATAATACACGATTTGTCTAGTTATGTAAACCAATAATAGTTAGAGATCACTGTTTTGTTATTTTCAGTTACTATATAGAACACTGTTATGCATACGACCTAGTAAATGTTATCGATTTGAATGAGTCTTTATGTTCATGAGATAAATCTAGATCAACCTCAAATCATTACAATCGTAAGGCGTCATTCAGTAAACAACTTCAATATATAGTTTATAGTACTCAACAAAGTTTATTGGTTGAATGATTTATTGTGGCGAGGCTGGATAAATATCAATCAATGTTTAATGTTGAGATTTAGCGTTTGTAGATACAACGTTGCCAAAACCTCGGAAAACAAGCGGTCAGAATCATAATGTATGATTTACACATACTGAACAGTGAAGTAATATTCCAAAAATCAACGAAACCGTGAGCGATGTCTAGAAAACCGAAACAATACAAAAAGTGATGCTATTCAGATACATACTTTACTTTAATTTTGATAAATAATCATCAATCACAGTTACTGTACAAGGTTTTAAAACAGTTGGCCTCTTCCAAATAATATATGAATGTTTCTCATTAAAGAGTTATGGAGATTATTGCGTTTCATTGAAATTATGAATCGAACACAGTTAGACTCCATAATTAAAAAAAAATCATAAAATGTGATCACTAGTGACTAACTTCGTGAGGAAATTCTCGGAGTCCTAGTCAAAAGCTGTAACCAGTGGAGTTCACTCCTGTCGGGAATAGGCAGTAACTACCGAAGACACTGTGTGTAGTTGAGCAATGTCAGGGGTTGATTAAATTTAGACATTAACACCATCGGACGACGGCTAGGTGGTCTAGAAGTTAAGCGTTCACTGGCTAAACAAAAGACACTAGGTAAGTTATATGCGATTCAATGCTTCCAGGTTTCTAATGGTGGTCTAACAATGATTGACTTGTAATTTCAATATATGAATCGTTTATTGCAACAGAATCCAGGATGCACGATTCGTCTTACTTGACATTTGTCAACATCGACATTTGAACACAGTACTTTTCAATACAGAGTCCAGATGACTACTTACCTGTTCAACTAATGCAATGTTTAAATCAACCTTCGTAAGGGTAATAAACATTAGCATAATTCAAACCAGCTCTAACTGGTCCCTCTGCTAAATATAAGTAACATGAAGAGAGGAGAATGTTTATTTAAGTATATATGAAAAACGCATAATGTTAATCTGTTATAAGGTGAGCATTAAAAAGAAATACAGTTAGATCTGTTTCACTATTCTTTCCACTGTAATCCAATCTAGAAAGGTAACGAACCAAACGAATTTTTGAAAAATAAAGATTTTCCATAAAAATGAGTATCAATTGCAAATTTACTGAAACTATTCTATAGAAAACAAAATATTTGTTACATACTGTATCGTTTAAACTAAAGGAAATCAAAAAACATAAAAAAAACGTTAAATATGTTGACTTCATTTAATGTGAATAATAATAAAACCAAACTAGTACACTGTTCTTTTGTGAACCAGGGGTATTTATTTATTGAAATGTTATCTAGGCCTAATTTCTAAACACATGTCAATGTGACCTGTGCTATTATACTGAATGGTTTAATTGACGCTGCAAGATCAGAGAGAAAAACTACGTTATCATTTATTATATATATATATATATATAAATATTATCAATTTTCATTATCATGTAAATGAGGTTTTTTCTCTCTATAATTAATTTTTTTTTCACTGAGATTTTGCGTAGTCTTTACTGATTGGTTGTAACGAAACCAGATTAAGGTCAGAAGTTAATTGTATTAAAGTTGTGTGTATACAACACATCGAGACAGCAACACATGATGATGTACATTACATACATGCAGACACATACAAACTTTTGTATTGATGTTTGTGTTCATGTAAAGGAGAGAAGAACATCATGTTTTCCCGTTCAGAAAGAAGACAAGTAGAAAAATTACTGTGTAGGTGTGAAAATCACATTGTACTAGTGAGACGACTAAATCCTTTTGCTACCTACAACCACCACCCTCCTACAACAGGCCAATCAATATTGAGCATGCAACTCTATGCATCCAATAGTGAGGAAGGAAGTTAAGCGTGTAAACACACTGGTTGAACAGGAACATAAACAACAAAACACGGACTTGCTACTTGTCGTAAGTTTTTGATCGTAGGGGTGAACAAAAAATGTCGCTTTTAACAAGCGGGATTCTAGTGTTTTGTTGTATGTAACAGAGCAATAATCATAATCATTAGTAGTAAAATAACAAAGAAACCAGTTTTATTGGATTAACACACAAATCGTTTGGGAAACAGCTAGAGGAATCAATTACTCCTGTCATCAATTAAGTATATTTTATCGTGTGTGTTGTTTATTTGAATGTAACCCCTTCAGAAAGTACCAGGCATGAAAAAAGTTAAGAAAATTTTTTTCTTTTTTTAAATAACAGGGATACATGAACACAATTATCATCACTATCAAAAATGTATCACTCCTCTTTTTAAAATAACCTTGTTAGCATGCAATGAAACAAACATTCAATCGCTTATACTAGTAACATACTAACTAACCTTACTTGTTTGATCATTTGTACACACACAGAGGAACCAACAAGACGTTGACACTCCGAACTTGATATTTTAATTCAACACGAACTTATCAATAAACAAGCAGTCTCTCTAATTAGCTCTGGTTGTCATTGCTGATATTTTAAACATTGAAATAAAATCTTTGGCTGCATTCCTTTTCGGTGAACTAATACAATATGAATGAAAATGTAAGTTGGACACTTTCATGTTAATACATGACAATTAAATTTTTTCCCATTAATCTGTTTTCAGTTAGTAGCTTTTATTATTAAATTCACTTTATCAATGAAGTTTTGCATCGATACATGATTACAAATGTTATCAGTGAATAAATACTTCAGTAGATTGTGGACTTGTCGATCGAATCAACTTTCAGTTTTTATTTATTTATCCGATCACACTGTCTGTTTCAACCTAAAAAAATATATTTTATAAACATTATTAAGAAAGGTGGATAGTGGCCAACAGTGGAATCCAAGAATCGTATTTCGTCCTATACAGAACTCGTCAGCTAGGATGTATCTACATCTCAGAGTTATTGTTCACTTCGAGACTCGAGCTCAGTGCCGTTCGCTTCAAACGCCATCGGGTTATCTATCCACTTAGCTACTGAGTTCACATACCCACTAGCGTAAAGATGAATTCATTTGGTGTGAATGTTTGAATCCCCCCCTCCAGTTTATCAGTCTCTTTGAAATATGTTCATCCTGTTCTACTTGCCTCGATATTGTTTGTATGTCATAAGCATTATTAGGAGAGGTGGATCAACCATGAGATCAAGGTGTATCCAGCTAACGAGTCCCAAATAGATGGAAACGCGCGTCCTGGATTCCAATGCTAGCCACTATCCACCTCTGCTAACAATGCTTAATAATATGAGGGCAATATCAATTCAGACAATCCGCACTAAGATACCCATGTCCCAAGGAGACTGATCAATTGCAGTCCTAAACATCAACGGGCCGATTCATACAACTAATACAAATGAATTATATTTTTTATGGTTTTACAAATTGTGACTAGAGTATCTGTTGTTTCACTGAATCAAGTTTTCAGTATGTGATAAAAATGTACATATATTTGTAATGTCTACACGATTAGATAACAGCAATTTTCCAATTAAGTCTCTTTATATTCTCACTCAAGTGTACTTCAATTAATGTCATCTTTTAAATGTTGTTTAAAATTATAAGGGTATGGACTACTTGCTACTTTAGAAATTTCTTCGAAATTATGGCTGAAATGCTTATATGCTACTACTATTTTAATTACTATGAGGTAAAGTGTACATGGAAATATTCTATATTGATTAAAGTGAGGAAATCTTTTCATTGGAAAAGTTAATCAGGTATTGATATCAATGTTTTATTTATTATTATGCAATAGAAAAATGTTTTGTACTAATTCTAAGGCAAGTTTGTATAACAAAAGGTTATTTTTAAAAAAATTTTCTAAACATATTTGTACATTCTTAAGGATGAATTTCTTTTTGACTTCATCAACATTTAATATTTAGTTTAGATGAGCTGTTATGACCAGTAATCTAATGTGCAGGATGTTCATTTCGTTGTATTTGGAACTCGTCATCAGCTGGATGTATTTGAATTGCACTGTTGATCGATCTTCTTTCACATTAGAATTTTTGGCCTGGTACTTTTCACTGTAAAATAGGAAAAGGCATTATGATGCACTGAGCTATTGATTCCAGATAGCATCTAACTTGTTCAGCATAACTAATGTTTTTATCATCATTATTAGTGGATGTTTGAGTTTGATTGCTATCTATCATCATTCTGTTCTATATAGTTTGTAATATAATCAATCAACAAATAAAGTCATTCCTTACAGAGTGTACCGAAATTCAACTGTGAATGTCAAAAATCTTAAAACTCAACCTCTTAATTCATTTAATAGGTGATTTGTTACACGAATGAATATTCAAGTTGGTTATGCGACACTTAGTATTATTATGAAATAATTTCATTGCTTGTATATTACCGAATTTAGCCCGTTATTATGTATAATTGATTTATAACTATGTTAGTCAAATAGTTTTATGTGTGAAATGAAAGATCTTATATACTACTGATATGACTGCATAGATTTTTTTTCGAAATGATCAGATTTTATTGAAGTTCATCAGCATATTCCTAGGTAACTTTACAAAAATATTTCATTGGTAAAAAAATACACGGTATGCTACCTAGACGAAGAAGAATTAATTACTGTAGTAAGTAGCAGTTCAAGAGAAATTACATGAAATTATTATTGAACAGCTTATTTATTAATGAAGGAAAGTATTTGTATGAAGTTCAATGCATCACCTAACTTTATAACATTTTGTTCAAATGTAGTAGTTACTTAGTAGTATAGTATGTATAATCTTCAACTATTGTCCACTGGAAATTACTGGTCAACACTTCAATATATTCACTATACAATTGCATCTTTAGTCACTTCTATTTTTAATAGTGTAATGATAACGAAAAAAACTGCAATTTGATCACATAATGTTCACATAATGTACATTTGTAACAAGGAACAAAGTCTAAACATGATAGATTATCTAATTAATCATAAGTGTCTAAAACTCATAAGTACATGAGCAAATGAAGTGAAGCAACTTAGATGAAGAAAAAAAAATTAATTTTAATGAATTTTGACTAATTTCATTGGTGTAATCAAAGGTAATCACAATGCTGATAACATTCATTATAAAAGTTACAAACTACTAACTGTTCATACTGATTAGAATTATGTTTTTGTTTACACATCTAACCATTAGCTTTCTTCTCAAAACCAATTGGAACCAGTGAATTTTGATAGTGCTTTCTCTACAACAAGTTTATTATTGACAACATTGCCAACTGGTGATTCAACACAGTGTTATGAAAAACCGCAACACCAGCAACAGTATAATGACGATGAGATCAGTGTCACTTCTAATACTAGCGGTACTAATCACAGTATTACTGCAACTACAATAGCATCAGAAGTTATAAAATCCGATAAAAAGATCACACCATATTCCGAATACATTCAAATTGATCATCTTCTACAAAATAGTTCCAATGACACGAATCCAAATGACAATAATGCTTATAGTGTCAAAGAGATGGCAACATCATTATCATCATCATCACCATCACAAGCGTTGTCTTCAATTTTTTCATCGGAATTTGAAAATCGAGACAATTCAACATCATCAATTCATAGTGGTGATGTCACTGACAAAATTAAATCAACACCTATAAATTGTATCAATTTTCATGAACCATTCAATAAATCTCTATTGGATTTTGTAAATAACACAATGCTGCATCAAAGTGAATTGGATAAAAGTGAATTATTATCAGGTGATAAGAAATTCTCTATCAATAATGCATTGGCATCAATGAATTCTATTCCCGTGAGAAACTTTTTCCAAAACACACCAAACAATAATGATAACAATGATAATAATCATCATAATAATACTGGTAATAATCACAGAAATCCATTAGTACATAATAAACAGCTTGACAGTTTATTACATAGTCAAACTACATTGAATGCATTATCTATGGCTTATTCTTCTATAATTGCCAATGGATTATGTGGTATTGGAAAAGATTATGAAAACACATTTAATCCTGATCATATTACTACTACTAATAATACTTATCACAATATTACTTCACAATCCGATAAAATTCCATCCACCATCATGATACAACGTCCTTCAATTACGAATTTATTTAAAGAACATTCAATGATTCCAATAATATCAAGCACTGCAACAATACCACCACCATCAACAAGTACTACAATTTCATCAATACCTATCAGCAGTACACAATCGTCATTGTTTCTAGCAAACTCGTTAGAAAAAATCAACTCTGGGAATTTGTCGAATTCATTTATTCCAAACGTGCATAACAGTATCAATAATAATAATAATAATAATAATAATAACAGTGTCAATAGTCAGCGTCATATTCATCAAACTCATAAGAATTTATTAAATTCTAAATTAGTAGAATATGAAACTAATTCATGTCAAATGAATTTTCCTGCAATTATGAATGATCTTTTAATTGTAAGTTTTGGTATGTTTTAGATCCCTATCATATCTACATATATATATATATATATATATATATATATATATATATATATATATATATATATACATGTGACTTCGATAAACCACAATATGTATTTTTGTAATGAGTTTTCTGCTAATATATTATTATTGGATTAGTTAAAATATCCAAAGTACATTTAAAATTATTATTTTCTTGTAATACTTTTGCACTCGATTTTGTACAATGAAGAGTAAATGTTCATTTTTAATTGATAATCGCCTAAAATCATCATATGAATTTCCTGGTTATAAATAACTTGGTAGATATTAAATCATTTCAAATCGGATTGTTAATTTTAAAGAGGGTGGAAAGTATTCATTCACCTTAGTGATTGTTGGATAGAATAAACTGCGTGTATAAAATGAAATTGCAGTAATCTGTTACAAACAATACTTGCACGATAAACGAATTAAATAAATTTACATTAATTAAGTAACCAAATTTGTAAAGATTGTTCACTTTGCACTTAATATGTTTCATGAAGTGATATCAGTTAGGTATTCATTGCACTTTAGACAATTGTTTCCCTTCCCTAGTGTGGATGTTTTCAATAACTAATAGATCCATGAATTTCAAGGATATACCGGCATCTCATTGAGTACGATACAATAAAGTCAAATATTCGGATTGTTACTGACTCTCATTTCTTATCTAGCAATATAGTTTAATTAATATCCACTTAGATCAGTGATGTGTCTTATACTTCTAATAGAGCTGAATTCAATTGGTCGTAAGGAATTTTTTTGCAACTAAGAATCCCGGGTTCAATTTGCGACTGAGTTATGAGAACTTGATCGATTGAAATTTCCGAGTGGAACGAAGCAGCTGTTCACTGCTACCTGATTCTCACTTGTTTCCCAGGTGAAGTCATTTAGTTCAGGAAATCAATCAGAATTTTTTTAGCATGTTTTTCGCTTCGTAAATTTATTTAGTAACTTTATCAAAGTTGGAAAGGGAATAAGCACAAAGAGACATTTTATTACATAAGCTAATCTTCAACATCATTGAGATTAGATTATCCACTAATAATCTGCGAACTTCACCCTAAATAACTAATTTAATAGTAAAACAATCATTTATTGCAAACCTTTTCAGGAATAAGGAAGACGATGTAACAAGTGTTCAAAAAAATAATTATCAACTTTGAATTGTATCAATGAAATATAAGTGATAATAATAGGATTAATTTCAATTTTTTGTCTATATTTTTTTAATGAAAGGATTAAGCATTATACAGCTCACTTTCTGGGTTAACTTAAGTGTTCCTATTTAATATAAGTGTATGCATATAGGCATAAGTTTATGATCATGCTGCTATTTTAATATCATTCAACCTTCTTTATATGAACAAACAAAATTGACCTCTTGAAATTTATTGTTTTATTAATTATAGGGTTTACAGAGATTCACTGAGACTGTCTACAGTATCAGTCCGTTTTGATGGGCTCTTTTTTAATTACTTCATAATTATTACTCAACACACTTGTTTGCATATTGTTAATCAATGGTAGTTTACTTCTGATCGAGGTTCGATGATTTTCAATAGAACAACACTGTTGTTCTATCCCTCCCACAGCAATACTTATCTGGCGTGAATGAAACTATTTGATCAAAGAAACATTGTAGAATGATGGAAAAATTCGGATTATCTTTAACAGGATCATTTATTATCACATTAGATTACTAATAATTAATGAAAAAACATTGTTTACTTCATTTCATTCTGTAAATAATATTCACATGTTTCGCCTGTTTTTTTTTAATACAAGGAAAATTTGGAAAGTTGGCAGCATCTACAGAAAAATGCAATATCATCTAATATAGATCCTCATTTATTAACTTACTACAGTGGATCCTGGTAAGGAATCAATGAAAAGTGTTTTATTTTATTTTATTTTCTTAATTCTGTATTAAAATTGTTGTTGTTAAACAGTCTAAATGGAAAGATTCTGTGTGACAGATTATCATTGCGGGAATAAATTTTAAAACGTATTTCACAATAATTCAAACTCATGATAGATTACTTTGAAAATTGCTGACATTATCTGTCAAATTAGCTGAGCATCTAGACGGTATTAAGCTTATTACTTAAAGCATAGATCAATTGCGCTCATGAACAAATCAAGATGACATGAGAATTAGATAATTTTTGTTTTCCTCTTACTACTTTCTGCTCAGTATTAAAAGCAAATCAAATTCATCAGGTAGAAAACCAAAGATAGTTTTCTCGATAAATTCAAATCACATGGCACATTGGTTAATATCATATAACATGCTTGCTACAAGTAAGATTTTGAAAAGTGAAGTTATGTTGTAGTTGGAACTAGATGAATGTATTTATTATATTAGCGCATTGTTGAGTAATGATGAAAATGTTGTATAGGTGGTAATCATTGAATTTTCATAAAATAATTTTTCTGATTATAACATGACATAATATAACATATAAAGTTTAATAGTGTTCGTCATTTACCTCGATGCGGTGTGACTGCCAGTGTCATCATCAGGTGAACAGCGATTCATACATAAGTCACTAAAGAAAACCAAATCACATTTAACACAGAATAACAACTTAGGAATTTTCGCCTGGCATGAAACGTGAAGCTGTTGAATTTCATTTAATTTACGATTAAAAAGTCCTCATTTTGAGGGGACCCATACTTCTGGTGTTCCACCGTCCTCAATAATTCTATTATTACTGTTATTTTATAACTTAAGTTATATAATAGTTTTTACAATAATTACTCACACACCAATGACATTGAAATTCCGATTGTGCAACACCATGAATCGATTTAAGTAAGATATACAAGCCATTCGGTGTTGACAGAATCATCTAAAGGGTCAGTTTAGACCTGGAAGCTGTGTGTTCAATCCATACTATGATGAAACGGCTGTTCAGTGCTAGCTTGTTTCCAATGATCAGTCGGTGATGTAAACGATACAATTTAATACTTAGTACAACATTCTATTTTCATGGTAAAGATTCATTTTTTTTTAAATCTCACTCCTATTTTCAGTTGTCCTGTTGAATTGACTAATACAAATCGACGTAAAAATGCTACTCGAGAGACAACTAGTCTACTCAAATCATGGCTAAATGAACATCGTAAAAATCCATATCCTACAAAAGGGGAGAAAATTATGCTTGCACTTATTACAAAAATGAGTTTAACACAAGTCTCCACATGGTTTGCAAATGCTAGGAGACGATTAAAGAAAGAGAATAAAGTAACATGGAATTTACGTACAGATTGTTTATCAGATGTTGAACACGATGAACAATCGATCGAGAACGGGGATATTGATGGCGGCGATGATAATGATGATAAAATTAGCGCCAATGATCATGACGATAATCCTAATAATAATAATAGTAATAACAAAGAAGATGATTTACAAGGAATCACTGGTTTGGAAGGCTTAAAACAATATTTATTACATAAAAATGCAGAAAATTATGGTAAATTATCATTGAGCAAATTGTTCGATAGACATGGAGGCTTACAAACAATGATTGAAGGCAATAAAACTAAGCTGAATAGTCGATTGCGTAATTTTACAAATGACTGTGATCCAACAGACTCCGTGCCAAGTAAACGTCCAAGTTTAGACTATGATAATCACACATCAACACCTGTGCCCACAGTGAATCCATTGAATCAAGAAAACGAATTCTGTAAGAGTAAATCCAGTACAAATGTTAGACTGGAGACGCGTAAAATTTGGTCATTGGTTGATATGATGAATGAGCAAAATAATTCACAAACTTCTAGACATGAATTATTCAATGAAAAAAATCCAGCGATGAATATACAAAATCAATCATATGATCATTGGCCTCCTATAGAAGAAAATAGAAATTTACAAAAATCTCCGAAAAATTTACGAAAAACTTCCAATGAATTATTCTCTTATCAAATGAAACTCAATGCTGCATTGACTGATTCACTTGAAATGAACAGAACTAATAACAACAGTACCATAAGCGATGAGTGTGGTGTCACTAGAAAACTATTAGGCAAATCATCTTTTTCCACTGCTTCCACAATCACTGGTAATAATAGCAGTACTAGCAGTAGTACTGATAGTAATAATATTCATATTCCAACTGATTCATCCTCTTTATTATCTCCTAGTGCATTGGCAGCATTTTATTTTTATTATCAACAAAATTTACAACGAGCACAAGAACAAAATCAGTTGATGACCACATCTTTGCCGCATCAATTTCCAACGAGTGGACATCAACCACAATTGCATGCACAAAAGTTACCTTCCCTTAATTCTCCTAGTTTCAATAATAATAGTAATAGTAACAATAATAATAATAATAATAGTCATAATTTACTTCATACTAAACCATTCCTTCAATATGATGATCATTTTTCCAACCTATTTCAAGGTAATAATGCATTAAATCTGAATTTATTAAATAAAGAAACACAACAATATGCAAGATCATTATGTTTGCATAAGAATCATTCAAATCAACCAGTAACAGCTAGTCCAGGTGAAGAATCGTGATTGTGATGTTGAAAATAAGAAAAGAATAGTTTGTTGTTGTTTTGTTCTTTTTTCGAAGAAGAAGAAATTACATTCCAATTATTGAAAGTGAGTTGTTTTACTTAATTTAAATGATCACATAAGATATAGTTTTAAAAACAGCTCGTTTCCAAAGTGATTCCTATATCGATCAGGTTGAATGGAAGTGCATTGTGATGGTATTTCTCTGCTAGACAATGTAATCATGCTCATATTCTTTGACATACTTAAAGATAGTGCTGAAGTTGACTATAATCTGAATTGGATAAAACCTCTAAAAAATATGGTTTACTGAGGACTTATGATTTTATAGCTCTGCAATATTTACAACCCTTTAGCTCTTTTACTGCAATTTAGTTAATTTCGTAATTGTCAGTTAAAAATATTTGCATTAATTATTGGAATAGTTTATGTCCGATTGGAAAGTTCCATGATTATCAAAAAATTTCCTACTTATCAATAACCTGTTCTATTTAATCAATATGCAGCTCTTTGGAATATGAAATTTTTATAAAAAGGTGTTTTGCATCTCTGTATACAAAGTGACAATTCTTAATCACACTTGAATGATTTATGTCGCCTTAATACTATTTGGTTTAGAACACTGACATGTTTTAATTCGACAATTGCCCACAACAGTTGTAAAATATCACAATGTAGGAAAATATCTATATTCATGGATTTAGTGTTTCAAACGTGGTATTAACTTCAATTTCGATTTTTCCCTTTGATCGTTTATGACATCACATTGTGGATTAAACGAATCATATTTCATTAGAGGCAACTGTTAATTTCTTAGTGAACTGCTAATTACACATTTGAGTTTGTCTTGATTAGCCACAGCACAACTTGTCAATAACTACGACTTGAAATCAATGTGAAGATATGATGACAAATGTGAATTCAATTTAGTATCGAAAATAAATCAATCAAAAAAAAGTGTATTTTGATAAAATAAATAATTTCATTTGAAATGGTTTACATTATCCCGTTATTGTTATTTTAACTAAATTTTGATCAGTTGACAAACACTAATGCTTGCAGAGTTTATATTTCTCAATGATCAAATATGATTACCTTTAAATGAGTAGTACTCACTACTGAGTAATCAATAATTTATTATAGAAATCCGATTGACACACGTCAAAAGACTGACAAAGCCAATCAAATTGTTAAATCAACTACTTGATCCTTCCTCACTTTCAACAATAACACTAAAATACTATCATCAAAGGCGTTGTAAATAAATTTGCATCACTCAATATCAAAAACAGATTTTTTTTGCACTGATCCGTTTATACACCCTTGTTAATAAAGGACAAAATCGGTATCTGATTAGAGTATACTTAATATAAATATAATATAAATTCCATATCAGCCGTTTGAAATATCATCAACCTTTATAGTACACAGCTTTTTGAAAACGAAAGAATTCAAAATAACATTTTTATTGGTCCTATCGCGACAATATTCCATACTAATTACAATATTTGAAATATGAACCTTCATCAGCTGTATCTTTCTGTACTGATTTATAGTTTAATCTTAGTGCGAATATCAAATTCCCTAATTTTATATTGTGAGGACATTTCACATACCTATGCATAATCGTTGCTCTGGCTGTCAGAAAGGATATTGGCCTCGTAATTTCCGAAGAAACGTCATAACTACTCTGAATGCATGAAATGAAACTTTTAGTTAGCGTTTTTTAGCATGCTTGCTTTTTACAGGACTGAGTTACTAAACCTTATGCCTGACCCTTATCCTTTATCCGGATTGAGAGTGACATTAACCCTAGAAGGGCCCCAGCCGGGGTTAGTGGACCATATTTTAATATTTTCATCATATACATCCATTTCAATAAATTTATCATTAAAAATGTAGTAAAACACTAGTGATGTATTTTGAGTAGATTCAATTAATTTTATGACTGTTCCATGAATCAAGACCTAATTTAAACTTATATGAAGTGAGGAAATATTGAACAGGCCGAATTGTCATTCACAGATTACTCTGTACCGAAACATAAATGTCACTGGTTTTGCTATGAATAAAGAAGGGTTGTAAGTTGCCCAAATATTTTACACGCGGATGAAGTACAATTAAGTGCTTGGACTTCAATCAGTCTTCGTTAATCTGTCAGGGTGAAAATTAAAAAGTTGGTAAAGGACTCAGCAAGTGTATATCAATAAATTGAAAACTACTTCTTCTGAAGATAATTTTCATCATTTAGTGAAACCGACTGAAAAATCACTAGAAACGTGATAGCTATCTTGCCCTTTATGTTTCTAGCATCAGGATCTATTTCTTAAAGCTCCACTAAGAAGTCATACCTGATGACGTTCAAGTACATGAAAAGAGTGACAATTATTATCAATAGGATTAGGTTTTAGTCACACTGAATTGAAAAGTGACTGAAATATAAAAAAAATGAATCAATAAGCTTCAACTCAGTGCTCAAAGAATACCATGCGCGTCTCAAGGCAGAAAGTATTAGGTTCAGCTTTATGCTGGGTCACAATCGAAGATAAGACACAACTATAAAAATAATTTTCTGGTTAATGTTAACCTGTACAGGAAATTTTTCTGAAACTGGAAAAATTTTTGCACACACGCTGCTTGTCTAACTAAAAAAACTACCTGTTCATAAATAATCTATTCTTGTACTAATTACAGATTTGCTTTCTTTTATCTTTCGACATTATTTTACAGACTTGCAGAATTCAACCCAAATACACATTATATTCGTTAATCCTCATTTCCCAGGTTTCAATGAAACACATCTATTTAAACTCATCAAATACCAAAAAACACACAAAAGAAAAAAAACACATTTCAAAATCATACAAACATGCCATAATCAATCATACAATAATTCGATTCAAATATTCAGAAAAAAAAATATATTAAGGATTATACATTTATAACTTATCAATAACTTTTGGTTTGCGTTAAGAAGCTAATCGTACACATAGCTTTATGAGCATTTATTCTATTAAAATAGACAATACAAATACAAATGGTGCTAGGTTGTAATTTATTTAATATACTGTTGTCATTGTTTTTGCTTTTGTCCAGTTTTATTCAAACTTTTTGCCTATTGTCCAGTAGTTACTACTTTCTCCATTCATTCATTTACTACTAACAGTTTTCAAATCATTTAATTCTATCTTAGTTAAATGACATTGTATACGACGAACTGGAAATGACTATTCTGTTTTTATACTAACAGTTTTTGAAAAAAAAACAAATATTTGTACAAATTAAAAATTGAAAATTGAATGTAAAATTTTCACAAAATGGATTGTTGTTTTTTTTTCTAGAAAAATGTCATGTGTATTTCTACAAAAAAAATAAATCAAATTATTATAAATATATTATTTTATTGCTATTATTATTACTATTATTATTAGGCTTTAAAAAAATCGATGCAACGAAGATATTCAGGTTAAGTTTGCTGTGGTGTCATAAGGTAGTACTACTCACGAACGAGGAGTAGCAAACACGAACGAGATGGTTAGTCAGTGTCTTACAGATTCTCATGCTTCCGAACCTACACCGGTATATCAATAAAGTTAGCTGTATATCAAAATAAGCCTTCATAATGCTATCAAAATATAATTTGGCCTAACGGATAACAAGGCTGACGGCTATAATGAAATGAAATATTTTGACAACTGAGTCGAAATTAAAAATGAATATTAAATTCAACTAGTTACTTATGAGAAAAAATCTAATGTAATGTAATTATGGTCTGGTGATAAATGGCTATTTTCTATTCGGATAAACAGTAAATTTCATATATCAGTTGAAAGACTGACGAAAATGAAATCTCAAATTCTTAGCTAGGTGAAATAGTAAAGGTACTCACTCTATGAGACCCCATATTGAGATAATAGAAAATCTTGAATAAATAATTTTAATTTGAAAATGATAATGACGCTATTTATTAGGTAATAATTTCATTTTTACTCGTCAGGAAAGAATGAAAATTTCGTATTCATACAACTATTATGATAATAAGTAGATATTCTCTAAATTATTTCGACAATAAAAATTCAACAAAACTATTTTTATAATTATAGGAATTAAAAATGATCATAATTATTGAGCAAATCGTTGGAATTTGATGATTTTCAAACATACAAAATTAACAGTATACTCAGCCACTGCATTTATCACCTAAGTCTGAAATAATTAAAAACATCATTATTATATTTTAAACTAAACTATCTGCCTATCGAATAAGTTAGTGGATATCATCTGAACTTAGTAGCTGGTTTCATGACGTGTTAAGCGTTTGAAATGAAACATACTGGTTTCAAGTTCCAATGTGAACTTTGCAGTACCCAGGATGAGGTTATATTAAAAATGACATTTTGCAAATATGAATCCTGGATTTCACTGCTAGCCAGACTTCATCTATTCTATAAAACTTGTAAGAAAATAGTGTATAACGAGGCATTGTGCACAAAGTAGACATACGATAACATGCATTGACTGAAATTCAGTCAAAATAGCAATAACGGGATAATTCAAGCATTTTAATTTGAACAATTAATTTATTTTGTTTAGACCGTATAAACGACCGGTTCCTATATTTACCAAGAATAATTCCATACTATTAATTCTGTGTTCAAATATAGCTGCTGATCGATGAGTTTGTCAAAAAAGGAACCACAAGAACTAAGCCTTCAATAAAACATAAGTGTTTCAAGTAAATTCTTAGTGATTATTGCATAAAATGAAGTCATGATATATATATATATATATATATATATATATATATATATATCTATATATATATATATATATATATATACTGAACAAACTCAGCTAGAATACAATTGTCAATCATGTTTAGGAAAAAAAACTAACAGTTTTATCTAATATAAATATACATGATAACGCATTATTGTTACTATTTATTTGTATCTAAAAAAGAATAAGAAAAAAAACGCGAAAAAGAGGAGAAGTAGGGT